GAGCTTTCTCGAGTCCGACGGTGAGTCCAAACGTTGATTGTGAACCAGTCTTCACCGGCAGGAGAAGGGTCTGGCGGTTGGCTCCGAGCTGAATACATGAGAGCCCAAGCAGTCGCATTACGGGTGACAGAGGGCGTCAAAAGTGGCTTTGGAGCCAGAAAACGAAGAGGTCCAACGGGAGGTTGAGCGAATGGGATGCCCAAGTATGCGTTTGTCGCATTCGAGACGGCTTTACCTCGTATTTTGCCTGAAGTGGTCTGGATAATGGGCACTGCCGCTTGGACGAAGCCAGCTTCGAGTGCAAGCCACAGCGTGAGGATTTGCAGAGAGTTAGGGGCCATTGTTGCGCGAGAGGACGACCCGAAGAAACATTGTGCTTAGTAGTCTTATAGGCTGCCCTGGATGTTGATTGCGGCTTCTTTATCGTCACAAGAGCAGTGTTACATAGGGCCAACTATGGGGACCTTTGAACGGATCAATGCGGCTTCTGATCTTCCGTTACTGGGCGCCGTTCATTCTCGACTATTGATATTGTAACAGTCGAGGTGAACCATCTCGAGTGTTGATCATCTGATCGAGGTTTTCAGGTGGAGGTCGTCAATTCTCAAGATTCAGACTATGACAGGGCTCACCACTCCAACATGGGGTCCGTGCAATCAACCCGGAAATCAAGACTTGCCCTCTTCAGCAAAGTGATGTCGACTGCGAGCGGTGCAATTCGAATCTGCATACTCACAGTTGTGCGATCTATCCAACGCATACAACGTGAGGGTAACCTCTAACTTTGGCCGTGGATGCTGCAACCCTGTGCTCAGGTCCCATTTTCACAGCGTCCGCAATCCATGTGTACAAGTCGCCTGATCATCCACAGAATGCGGAATCCGAGCACCAGTCCTCGACGTCACCCACTCCTTGTGTGACCTCGACGCAATGGCTTCGTCTTCACGACCGTTCTAAACGACATTGAAATTTTGTGGAACCGGATATTGCGAGACCGAAGCCACGCCAAGAGCTGGCTATTGACTTTAGGCGCACAATAGACCAAGTGCACGTTTGAAATCATTGACCACGAGAAGACGATACAGCCAGGTTTCAGGTTAAACGACAGACTAAAGGCCGAGACCCAATCCCGCACATCTAGAATCAAAAGAGGCCGGGTCTTCCAGTTGGATCGGATTCTGTAAATCAGTGCTGTTGTTGAATATGTCGACGAGTGCTACTTCCAGGCCCATTGTACTTCTTCCAACCAAGCGACAGAAGGCCATCACTGGGTTCACGACAAAGGCGCTCCATGCCTTTTGCAAGTATTCCGTGGCTGCCGAAGCAAGGCCAGGAAAGGCATTGAATAGAGACAATTTGATCGGATGCGTGCCAGGAGCGAAGAGGTGGCGGAGATAGCGCACGGAAAATGGCCATGTATCTATATCGATACACGGACACAATGAAGAAGAATACCTAGATTCCCATTAGCGTGATGGCTTCAAGTCTCTGATTACGCGGACTGCTGGCTGTCGTAGCACCTGAAGACGGACAGAGTCAACAGATCCGAAAGAGTCTCGTTCAGCGTGTTTGTTGTCCGGTCTACAACGAGAATGTCGCCTTCGTTGTCAGTTGTCCCAGTTAACAACGGCTGAACAAAGTGTCAATGACAAGAGTAGACGGTGGTTCGCTGGCTCACAATTTTCGCAAACTTTCCTGCGCGACCTCTGGATTTGTACTCGGATTTGGAGAAGAGTGTGGTATTGTCGACAAACGGAGCAATTCCGAGAGTGTTCGTAGAGTTGAGCGCGTCCGTCAGTTGGGCAACGCTTTTTGTACGAACGCAGTCGAGCTGTGCTTTATAGTCTTGTCCTTGAAGAGGGCACCCAACAGCGCTCGCAATATTAGGGAACGGATTGGGTCCTGCGGCTGGGAGGCCAACAATTGGGATTGGAGGAGGGGTCAGCGCCATGGATGCCTGCCCGCTCATAAGAATGGTACCGCGAATAAGTGGTCGGGATTCGTAAGCGTAGAGATACGCAGCGATACTCCCCGCACCCGAAGACTGTCCTCCAAGCGTAATCTGAGCCGGGTTTCCACCAAACGCTGCAATATTAGTGACGACCCATTCAACAGCGGTCCGTTGATCTCGGAGCCCAGCATTCGTATCCTTGTTTGGAATGGCTGGAGAGTTGGCATAGCCAAAGACGTTGAGGCGATAGTTGAAGGACACGAAGACAACCTCTGGATGGCTGGTCGACCACGAGGTAAGATCATTAACTACGGTCTATCAGCTATACGACACCTAGGTCGTAGAGAACGTACGCGCAGATCCAGACTGTCCCGAGTTCCAACCGCCACCATAGATCCAGATGAGGACGGGCTTTAGCCTCGGAGAGAGAGACGGTGAAGTCCAGACATTGATCGTGAGACAGTCCTCACCAGAAGGAGATGGATCCGGTGGATTCGCTCCTAGCTGGATACAGGAGAGGCCAAATGCGGTGGCATTTCGCGTGGTGGATGGAGTCAAGAGAGGTCGTGGCGCTAGAAAACGAAGTGGCCCAACGGGAGGTTGAGCATAGGGAATGCCCAAATAGGCGTTGGTCGTATTCGAGACGGCCTTTCCTTTCACTTTGCCCGACGTTGTTTGAACGACTGGAACTGCCTTGACGAGGCTAGCAATAGCGAACGGAAGCCACAACACGAGTATCTGGAGAGTTTTGGGGGTCATCTTTCAGTGGTCAGACTCTCCAAACCCTTCGCTCGTCGTTTTATACGTCGTCCCTATATGGTCGTTGCAGTCCACCTTCAAACCAACTCTCCGGCGCGCGCTGTGTCAGGTTCCACTTCTGGCGTCGGTGACTCGGCGATGTATTCAAGTGGAAGACGTCGACTACTGAAGCCGAGGATGCCGTATCGACATTCGAGCATGTCTGACCTGCAGGCTTGTACAATGAGTTTGAATTGAAAGAATGGAGTATATATACACTGAAAGAATGAGTAAACTCGACCAGGGGAAACTGCCATCAACTGCGGGCCTCAAGCAAAGAGGCGCTTCGTATAGCTGTGCAAGCCGTGAACGCCTCCTTCGACCTGAGCACTCGCAGTCCGCAGCTCGAAACGCACAACCCCTGCACGTACAGCCTCTTGGAGAGCTGCGATCGACTGTTGACCGGCGTCCTGAAGTGAATGTTGTAGTCCTGTGTGCAAGTACCTTTTTTCCACAAACGTTAGTAAGCCAGTTTCGACTGAGACTCTGGATGTTTGAGATTACTCACGGGAGGAATTTGTGAATCGAGCCCTTGTCCTGAACGTCTCCGCTGACACCCTGTGCGACTTTGACCGCAGACGTCTCGGAGAAGTATCGAGCCGTCGCTGCATTTCCAGTCTCCTTTGCGCCGTTGACTTTTGGGCCACCCTTTCCTTGTCTCACCGGTTGGGGACCAGGTGCCTTTGCACCGACGCTGCGCTGCTCCATAGCCTCGATGCTCCCCATTCCACGATACGCCTTGACTCGTTTGCCCTCGTGGTAAAAGTACTCTCCAGGAGCCTCCTCTGTACCGGCTAAGAGACCACCCATCATGACAGCACTCGCACCCATTGCGAGTGCCTTGACGATATGACCAACATTGGATATGCCTCCATCCGCAATGACTGGTACGCCAAACTTGGATGCGAATTCGGCGACTTGGTAGACGGCTGTAGCTTGCGGACGACCGACAGCCATGACCTCTTGGGTGATACAAATCGACCCACTACCCATACCGACACGAAGGGCATCGGCTCCTGCATGAATAAGCTTGGCAGCCTGTTCACGCGTAACAACGTTTCCGGCTACAACCTCGAGATCTGGCCATTTTTGTTTGATCCATTGGATCATTTCAATCTGATAGATCGAGTTACCCTGACTCGAGTCTAGGATGACAATGTCAAGCCCTGCTTCCACGAGCAAGGCCAGACGATCGCGGTCAGCTAGGCGCGTTCCGATTGCAGCCGCAGCGTAGAGCTGCTTTGAGTCGGGACGCTTCGAGGAGAGGGGAAAGTTTTGGTTTTTGAGCAAGTCGGAACGGGCGAGAAGCGAGACGAGGCGTCCAGACGCATCGACGATGGGAAGTTTTCCCTTTTTGCAATCTCTGAGTACGTTATTAGCCTCGAGGAGCGTGACTCCAGAGGGAGCAGTGACGAGGTCGGTGGTCATGATCGTTTTGAGTGGCGTGGACGGGTCGTGGAACTGGATATCGCGAGAGGTGACGATACCGAGTAGCTGACCACCTAGGGATCCCGTTGCTATTCCAAGGCGTTAGCATCAGCACGGACAGACACGAAGGATCAGGGACCAAAAAAAATAAATCTCCGCACATCACATCCGAGAGGACGTTGGTCGGAAGAACGAAGGTATGGTATAGAGTTTCTCATCACAGGCGGAATAACAGAAACAAGACGTACAGGTGATGGGGATACCGCAAAAGCCAAGTCGAGCTTTAATGTCCAAGACATCGGCGACCGTGTCATCTGGACCGAGAACGACAGGATCCGAGATGAATCCATTTTCGTGACGCTTTACGGCGCGTACCATGGCTGCCTGTTCCTCGGCAGGCTGGTTGTAGTGGATTACACCGATGCCGCCTAGAAGCTAACGTGGAGAGTTTACTAAGCAAAGTAAAGTAATCAAACGTGGTTTACACACCGCCATGTTGATTGCCATTGCTTTTTCCGTGACAGTGTCCATGGGGCTACTCATAAACGGCGTTTTCAAGACGACCCGACGCGTAATTCGGCTCTCTGTGGAGACGACACTGGCTGGGAAGTCGATGTGACCAGGAAGGAGCAGGAAATCGTTGTAGGTGAGCCCGCCGTGTTTGATCGAGCTCATCAACTGGGCGGCCGAAAGTCCATCACGGTCTTCATACGTCGAAAGATGCTCAAGAGCAGTTTTAGGGTCAAGAAACTGAGACATGGCTGCGACGAAACGAAGAGCAAAAGACAAGGACGGGTCAAAGAGGGCTGACAGGGTCGGACCACGAGATCGAATTTTGTGGGTGGGTTCGATGGAAAACTTCGAAAAGACAAGATCCGACGAGATTTTATGTGTAATAGAAGTGTAATTGGATAATTAGCATGCTCAAATTGTACATTATGCTTTCGACCTTTAAACCTAGGTGCGTTTGTTCGCCTCCTTTTCGACCTTTGATGCTGTATCCCGAACACCTGCAGCACTCTTCTCTTTGGCATCCTCGGCCTTGCCCGAGCCCCATGACCACCACGAGGATCCAGTGGCTTTTGCAGACTCGACGGTTTGTTCTGTTGCAGCCTAGATGCGCTTAGTATCATCGTGTACTAAGTATAGAGATGGGCCTACCTTTGTCTTGTCAACCGCCTCCTCTGCCTTGTTGCGTGCCTGCTCGTAGCCACGCTGGAGAGCGTTCTGAGCATCATGTCCATGCTTTTCAGCCTCATATTTCGCCTTGTCAAGCTTGGCCTCGCCCTCTTTCTGTGTCATTGATTAGCCCTCACGTCTTCATGGTCAGGCAGACTGTCGGACGTACCTTTGTGCTCTGGAGGATGCCTCGCATTCCTTCTTCCATTTCTCACCCTTTGCTTCGGCAGAATGCTGGAGTTCTTTTGCTTTGGCCTTGAGCTCGTCGTCTTTGCCGGTGCTACTGAGATAGTACCATCCACCGCCTGCTACAGCGATTGCAGCGACGACTAGCGGGACTGTACTGTTGCCCGTCTTTGGTGGATTGCTGGCGGGCTTGGTCATTGTCGGTTGAGGACCCGGGGTGGCATAGAATCGGCGAGGAGCCGTCGTGCGAAGAGTGCGTGCTGTTGAACGGAGCATTGACGTGGTGAATTTGAGAGTTGGGAGTAGACTTGGTTGAAAAGACTCGACGCTGGCGACAGGGTTTAAGTTGTGTCCTTGAAAGTGACGTCAATCTGCAGAGACGAGCGTCATCATCCCGCCACTTGAAATCGCCGGTAATGTGTCACAAGAGCACCGTGGAGAATAAGAATTTAGCAAGCGCGACGCAAAAAGTGGGAAATAATCGTGTTCTACGCTATGGCTTGATCGGTACAGTCTTCTTACGGATCGGCGGTCCCCACCTAGAGCACCGTTAGCATTCTGACAGTGAATAAAATACAATTACAAACCCTCTCTGCGTCTTCTTTGGCTGTGGCTCTCGCGCGTACACCTTTGGATCTTCGCCTTGTCGAAACTTTTCGAGACACCACAGGAGATACCTGTCGAGGTTGAGCTATATCAAAGTCATTTAAACTGTCTCCTACCTTCTTTCCTGGACGGTGAGACCCATCTTGTCCAGCTTTTGGCCGTTGAGTCGGAATAATTCTTCCCAGCTGAGCGTATCGACGTCGGGGAGTTTTGTTTCGCACTTTCTCCCAAATGCTACAAGCAAGCTCTTTGTGTCGTATCCTCCTGTTTGCAGTTGATCAGCGTGTCATTGCATGGCTGTAACTTGACCTACGCTTGTCCAATGGTACCCGCGTCGCCTCTTCCGACTTTTTCTGCTGTCGAATCATTTCAGGTGTCATTTGAAAAGGAGAAGGCGTGTTAGGAACAGCCGCAGCTGGCTCAAACCCGCCAGTGCTTCCTTGTTTGGTCGAGTCCGCCGCGTATAGACGTCCTGGAGCGCGTAAAACGCCTCGTATGACGAGTCTACGCGCGTGGAATTGGGCCACAAATGACATGGCCAGAAACGTCAAGGTGTCGTGGTGTTCAAACTTGGAGGAGCAACTGACGGGCATGTCGACGGCCCGAACCAGGGAAATAGACGACCTTTGACATGTCTTTGATATATTCCTTTGGAAGAATAGAGTGGGCGGAACATCCACCAGGCTTGACGCCGACCACATCTTTCATCCGAGTCAGACCGCACTGATCATCACACACGATGCCTCCAAAGAAACAAAATGCACCGTCTTCATCAAAGGCTCCCGTCGACAAGGTCAGATATGACAACCAGAACCCAACTGCAGGCGCATACTGACCAATTGGATACTCTATCATCAATACGATGCACTATATAGACGTTTGGGATGAAGAATGTGTGTGCGAGCATACTTTAGACGACTCGCCGTGTTCACTAATCGGTCCGGATCGTGCGCTACAAATCCAGAAAAACAAGTCGGCCAAAGTGCAAAAGTATGTACAGCAAGTACAGAACGAACAAGCTCGAGCTGGCAAGACACCGGCTGCTCTGGCCAAGGAGAAAGAAAAGAATTACGGGCCAAGGAAAAGGCGGCGGAGGAGAAGCGAAAGAAGGAGGAAGCAGAGCTGTTCAAGCCAGTTCAGGCGGTACAAAGGTACCGTTTGGTGTTGGTGCGTGTCACGATTCCTCGTTTGCGGCATCTCAGCAGGGCTGTAGATCCCAAGACTGTCCTGTGTGCCTACTTTAAAGCCGGTACTTGTGACAAGGGAACAAGTGCAAGTTTAGTCACGACCTAAACGTCGGGAGAAAGGTCGAGAAGAAGGATCTATACAGCGATGCGCGAGGATAAGGAGAACGGTTTGTAGAATCTCTCTATGCGGAAGTTGGCTTACATAAAGTAGATACGATGGATAACTGGGACGAGGAAAAGCTACGAAAAGTCGTCCTTTCAAAAGCTGGGAATCCACGGACGACGACCGATATCGTCTGCAAATACTTTATCGAGGCGATTGAGACGAAAAAGTTTGGTTGGTTCTGGGAGTGTCCGAATGGTACGCAAGATCGTTTCGTCTCCCATCATACACTCACATCTTTATAGGTCAGGACTGCATGTATCGACACGCGCTTCCGCCAGGCTTTGTACTCAAGTCGGAGAAAAAGGCGCTCGACGATGCGGCCAAGGCGAACACAATCTCTCTCGAAGAGTTTCTGGAAGTCGAGGTGGGCGATACCACTTCAATAGCTCATAGTCTTACATCCACTAGCGGCACAAATTGGGACCGAATCTCACACCCGTGACCCCCGAAACGTTTGCCCAGTGGAAAAAAACTCGACTAGACAAGAAGGCTGCAGAGCAAGAAGCGTTGAAAAAGGCAAAGGAGACACAAAATGCTGCTGGTCGCGTAAATGGCATGAGTGGACGAGACCTGTTCGACTACCGACCAGTGGTTTGAAGAGGAGGATGACGAAGGAGATGCAGAAGATGCAGAAGGTGGTGGATGGGATATTGAGAGGATGCGAAAGGAGACCGAGGCAGAGGCAGAACGAGAAGAGGAACTACGGATGGAAGAAATGCGAAAGGAGTTTGAAACAACGTCTGTATAATAGATCATCCTCTCTCCGGGCTTGGGTTGTCGCCGTTGAGCGCAGGGTACCAGGATCTATTGCAGGTTGAACTCGACACCGTCCGCGTTTCCTGCCAGAGGCCATCGACCGATTGAACAAATACTGAGGAAACTCAATTTTACGCGTTCAACTCTGTTCAACCACGTATCATGTCTTACGCGCCTCTTGTTGGTCCGAGGACATTCGACAACTTGGAGGGTATTCTCTCCGGCGAACGCAACAGTGGTTACATCCAGAACTATCTTTCTCTATGGGAGGCGAAGTTCCAGTCCCAGGTCCTCCCTGTGGAGGAACAGCGCGTCATCGTGAACATGTTCATGCAGGACGACGAGTCGCAGGTACACATTGCTTCTTTCGTATGATCCTATCCTTCATCATGACGAACCATGGACCTGTTCAGTAGAGCCTGACTTATTACAGGAAGAGCAATCCTAGGCCCGGAGGTGGTTCGCTCTAGCGTTTGTAGAGATACCCCATTCAGAGGATTCGGATGAAACAGAGCAGGATTACTCTGCTTCACGTACGACACAGATGCTAGGATGACCGGGCGACTATAAGCTACTGCTCAACTTCTTTCATCACCTATACAACGACTTGAACGACATCAGCGAGAAGGCTCTGCGACTCGTCAACAATGCCCGAAAGAAACGGAATCTCTCCTATTCGTTGGAGTACCCACGAGCGCACCGGCAAGGCGTACCGCTCGAGCGGACAGCGAGCCTAAAACAACAGAATTGCGCAGGGAATTCACGACCTCGCCCGAGCAATGAGACTTTAGAGGTAAACAAAGGCTCAAGTGACCCTTGCGACGCCACGAATCCGCCAGCGGGAAATGAGGATCACATTGATACAGCTGCCACTATGGAGCCACCCAATGTACTCTTTGAGTGCCCAATTGCCTGCTTTGGAGGATCCAATGCAGTGCAGCACCGGACAGTCCCGGATGAGGTGTGCAGACAGTTACCTAAAGAATCCGGTCTTTGCGTATGTGAAGACAAACATAACCGCGACTAGGCCATAGAATATGGATAAGACGACTGTCAAATGACGGGTGCTAGCCATCGAGTCTATGTACGAGTAGATATAATGTACGACCCTCCAGGCGGGAAGCCAATGAGAGCATCCGCCCGTCCCTTCCAGCAGCGCAAGAGGATGACGCCCCAGAATACATAGCTACTCCAAGCGAAAAATGATAATACGACTGCTACAGTAAACTTGACATCGTCAGGAGTGAGCAATCGCAGCGAGCCTCGACGGGAAATAGTAAGGAGTGTGTACAAGGAGCGCCAGGCGGGGTTAAATGGTCGTTCTGGGCTCTTAGCACAATGGGTTTATGGTTACAAATGTAGTATACGTTGACACTCGTGTATCGGAACTGGCAGAACAAGGGTGAAACCGTGCACTCGTCCCCCTGCTTCGATATTCAATGATGTAGAGTAAATAGATGCAATTATTCTGTCCATTTTCTGTGATATGCCCCACCAGGACACAGTCGGCGTCTGATAATTCAACCCGAGAGTGACAGACGCCATTCTTGGAACCATCCGCGTTGGCAATGCCACCTCAAAAGTCGACCAAACCAAATCAACATCTCTCTACTGCTGCAGGAAGATCTTCAAGCAAGAGGGATCAACTACAAAATGCGGCCAGCATCGCACTGGATGTAATCGCAAATGTAGCAGAGGCGTCGGATATCCTCGCTCCTCTCACGGCAGCCTGTAGAACAACAAAGTCAATCATAGACGTCAAGCAAGTAAGTAGATACACCCCGAATACCGCTGGCTGATCAACTAACAGACCATCGATGACAATCAAGGGGACTGGAACGACCTAGTACGCCGCCTGGAGCAATATATGTGGGCTGTCGAGAGCCAAATCGACTCCCTGGAAAAGTATCCTCCTGAGGATAGGGCTGTCGACGAGGCGTTTAGCCAGCCCCTCATTCATTATGTCGAGTAAGCCGGCACATCAACTCTGGCTCAGTCGACTGATTGATGCAGACTTCTCGAGGATATTCATTGCGCCATTGTCAATGATGCGCATAACCGACGCCGCACCAGCCGCAATGCTTTTACAGCCATCGGAGATGTGAGGATCGACGCTGGGATGATTGTTAAATTCAATCAAGAAATCGAGGACCGACATAGGCAATTCATGGTGAGGGCTTCCGGTCATATAGTCAAAATCTGACCTACGAAATAGGCCGCTTGTGATCTGTTCATTGGACACCGCGTTCAGGTCATCGAACGGAATACCAAGGCCACCAAGTCGGACGGTAAGCAAGGACTCGCTCAATAAGAGGCTCGCTAAAATGTCCAAGTCGATGCATCTTTCATATTCCAACTCCCGATGGTGGCATTCGTCCCATCCTCGGTACACACCACCTGTCTACAAGGCACACGTCAGGCTGTTCTCCAGACAATCCAGAACTGGGCCGAGGACGATACTTCGGATAAGCCAATATTCTGGCTTTGCGACATAGCTGGCTCTGGCAAGTCCACAGTCGCAATGTCAGTAGCGACGTTGTGCCGCACGGAGAGAACTTTAGGAGGCCAGTTTTTCTTTTCAATGTCCAGTAACGATACGTCGACCACCGAAAAGTTCTGTTCGACTATGGCAAGAGATCTTGTCCATCACATTCCAGAACTCGCACCGCACGTCGCCGATACTGTGAAGCGAAATCCTTCGATCATGCGAAGCTCACTTGAAGAGCAGTTCCGCACACTCATCACCGATCCACTCCGCCATCGACAGGAGCGTGTAGTTCTCATTGTCGACGCTATAGACGAGTGCAAATCCGGACCTCAGCGAAGGGAGCTTCTCGACACGCTCGCTAAAGCCGTTCAAGAAAGCAGGAACGTCAAGATCTTCATTACGAGTCGGCCAGACCCTGTCATCGAATCAGTTCTTCAGCCACTCTCGATCAAATCTAAACTGGAAGACCGACTCCACGATATCAAACATCGTGACAACGTGGATGACATCGCCGCCTATATCCACCAATCACTCTACACCGTTCTGCCCCAGGACAAGAGGCAACGGCTGATTGAGAAGTCGAGCGGATTGTTCATCTGGGCCAGTACTGCGTGTCGGATGCTCAATAACGAGGCCACGTTGGAAAGCCACGAGAGGATATATGATCGCTTAATCTCGGCGGACCAAACTGGAGATATAGATGATGTATACAAACTCATCTTCGAGCGCATACCCCCGGAACACAATGCCATGCTGTGCAATATGCTCGCACTGCTGCTTGCTGCATTCGAACCCCCTACCGTAGACGATCTGGACGACATTCTCCAACACACCGGAATAGGCGGGAGTGCCAAGGCGTTGGTCCAAAGCCTTGGAAGCGTTCTTATCGAGGACAAAACAACAAAAACCATTCAATTTCGTCATCCTACTCTAGTCGAGTATTTGCGACGTCGCTGTATCGCTCCAATCCCCGAAAACCCGAACAAAGTCTACATCGACATCCACAATGCACATGGGCAGCTTTCGTCGTGGTGTTTCAATAATCTCGAATCACGAAAGGAAGGACTCAAGTTCAATATATGTGGGGTTGAGTCGTCATTCTACCGAAACCGAGATTTCCTGGATCTGGAGGCGAGAATATCAAAGTCTATTCGAAGAAACCTTCGATATTCCAGTTTACATTGGCCATTTCATATCGCCCAAGCAGATATCGAGTGGAGAAGCAAGCTCGGAAATAAAATCGAGCAGATTATTCGTGCGCCATATGCACTATATTGGATGGAGGTTCTGAGCTTCGTTGGGGGAGTGTCTCGGGCCATTGACGGCCTTCGGGCCATGATACACAATACAGTGAGTGCCTCATTTCAGTACATTCTTGCCCTTGATTTAACACGACATGAAGACGGAAGAGGAGGCTAAGTGTCGTATAACGGACTTAAGGCAGTTTATGATGGCATTTTCAGTACCTATTCAAGAAAGTGCACCGCATATCTACATTTCGGCGCTTCCATTCACGCCAACAAGATCTACACTACATATTGAGGGCCTAACGATGCATGGAAACACCCTCAATGTGACCAACGGGCGGGAGGAGAGATACCGGGGACTTCCAGAAGCGCTTCGAGGACATACAAAGTCTGTGACGGCGATCGCATTCTCACCAGACGGCTTGCGAATCCTCTCTGGCTCAGAGGATAATACAATTCGACTATGGGACGCGGAGACTGGTCAGTCATTAGGCGAGCCACTGCGAGGTCACACAGGCTCGGTCAATGCCGTCTCATTCTCACCAGACGGCTCCCAAATTGCCTCTGGGTCTAACGATGAGACAATTAGACTATGGAATGCGGAGACTGGCCAGTCGTTGGGAGAACCATTCCGAGGCCACCAAGGCTCGGTCAATGCCGTCGCATTCTCACCAGACGGCTCCAAAATTGCCTCTGGGTCTAACGATGACACAATTCGACTATGGGATGCGGAGATTGGCCAGCCGCTGGGAGAGCCACTTCTAGGCCACACACGGTTGGTCAGCGCCGTCGCATTCTCACCAGATGGATCTCGGATTGTCTCTGGCTCATACGATAGCACAATTCGACTATGGGATGCAGACACCGGCCAGACGTTGGGAGAGCCCCTCTCAGGCCACACAGACTGGGTCACCGCTGTCGCATTCTCACCAGACAGCTCGCGAATCGTCTCTGGCTCCTACGACACCGAAATTCGACTATGGAACGCGGAGACTGGCCAGCCGTTGGGAGAGCCACTCCGAGGACACACACGCATGGTCAGCACCGTCGCATTCTCACGAGCAGGCTCGCAAATAGTCTCTGGGTCGGATGATCACACGATTCGACTATGGGATGTGGAGAGTGGTCAGTCATTGGGAGAGCCACTACGAGGCCACACGCGCTTGGTCACCTCTGTTGCATTCTCACCAGACGGGTCGCGACTCGTCTCTGGGTCGAATGATCACACGATCCGACTATGGAACGCGGAAACTGGCAAATCGTTGGGACAGTCACTCCACGGCCACACAGACACTGTCACTACCGTTGCAATCTCGCCAGGAGGCTTGCAAATGGTCTCTGGGTCGGTGGATAAGACGATTCGACTATGGAATAGGGAGACTGGAGAGTCAGTGGGAGAGCCGCTCCGAGGCAGTACTCACTCGGTCACAGCGGTCGCATTCTCACCAGACGGCTCGCAAATTGTCTCTAGCTGGAATCAACGCACGATTCAACTATGGAACGCGGAGACTGGCCAACCATCGGGAGACCCACTCCAAGGCCATACACATTGGGTCAACACTGTTGCATTCTCACCAGACGGCTCGCAAATCGTCTCTGGGTCATCAGATAAGACGATCAGATTGTGGAGCGTATCCACTGGCCAGTTGTTGGGCGAACCACTCCAAGGTCACACACAGAGTGTCAATGCCGTCGCATTCTCACCAGACGGCTCCCAAATTGTCTCTGGGTCAAATGACGAAACGGTTCGGCTATGGAGTGTGGAGAATGGCCAGTCTTTAGGAAGTCCTCTCCGAGGCCATATATGGGCGGTTCTCGCGGTCGCATTCTCACCGGACGGCCTGAGAATTGTCTCTGGGTCGGGTGATAACACGATTCGCCTATGGAATGCGGAGACTGGCCAGTCGTTGGGGAGCCACTACGAGGCCACACAGGCTTAGTCACCACGCATTCTCACCAGACGGCTTGCAAATTGTCTCTAGTTCGTACGATAATACGATTCGACTCTGGGACGCGGAAACAGGCCAGTCTTTAGGAGAGCCACTACGAGGCCACACAAACTCGGTCAATGCCGTCGCATTCTCTCCAGATGGCCTACAAATCATGTCAGGCTCAACCGACTGCACAGTTAGGCTGTGGGACGCAGCATTTGGTTCGTTTCACTTCATTTCCTTTTCACCGTGACGCCAAAAGCTCATAGATCTCCTAGTTGAGGTATTCAGTCGGGATGGTTCCCTGAGCCGCTCAAATCAGAGTGGCATCATCTTCGATCAAAATTCCATGGCTTCACTCAGAGCCATGCTCTCTGAGCTTCGAATATTTCCTCTCTCTGATGATGGTTGGGTGCATCTCTCCGGGAAACTTCTATTCTGGGTACCACCAAACAATCGGCTCGCACTAGCGGCCCCGCTACTGCTAACCATGCCGACGTCCAGCCCTCCCTACCCAACCAAAATAGATTTCACTCGTTTCGAGTGTGGCGCCTCTTGGACAAAAGTTCGGGGTGGCGTCAATCAATGAACTGTAGTGAGCGAGAACAGGATCATGATTTTACTCTCATGCTTGCGAGTCTCAGCTAGTAAGCCCCATCGTCTTGCGGTCCAAACATCCTGGGATGAATAGTTCCATACCATGACCATCGTGTTCAATCCGTACCTGTTCGTATTCTGGAACAGCTATATGTCGGAAACATATTCTCATGTTTGACTGTTTCCTTCGTCCTCCGTGTCATCTTCTTGGAGACCGACCGACTCGTGCGTGAGTCGTTTCGATACTGGGCCGACATTCCGATCCAGCTGCATTGTGTGATAGAGCGTGGACAATTGCAGGTACTGGTCTTGATGCGGGCGCAACTGCAGGTTCTGTCAAGGCACTGCCCAGTGGGTCGGGTGGCGGGTCAGAGGCCAGAGGCGGGTCGCTCTTTCTGACAAAATCCCGGGCGAAACCCGGTCCAGTGAATATTATCTGAAATTCCTGTCAGAGATATATTAGGGAAAGAGCGAGAAATGCCGACCTTTGTGTATGTGTAGGCTCGCGCGTCTGCTCTGCACGACGCTGCTACCTCGTGCGAATCAGGGATTATTCTTCATCGCATTAGTCCTTGTCCTAGTTACCATCTCCATTCGCTACATTGTTCCCGTTCTGTTCCTTATGGTCCTCTGACCATCGTCACTCTTTTACCCCTATACCTGAGTCAGATGCCTTCTGCTCGTCCCGATTTACATCCTCAGTTCCTCCATTCCTTCCGATCTATTTCCACACCCTCTATATAGCCTGTAGTACTTGACCGTTCTCGTATCAGAAGAGTAGACTTGTACTCCCTTGTGACCGTCCTCAATATACACGCGTTACACAGGTTCTTTTCGTCTAAAGTCGACTTTATTCATCGTTCCTCGAATACAAAGTCTCGACTCGACGTTCACAACGTCTTCACTCTCACCAAAAACCTTACAGTATGTGAACAAACATAGCGACGAATAGACAATAGAATATGGATAAGACGCCTGTCAAATGACGAATATTGGCCATCGAAGTTGCATGCGAGTAGATATAATGTACGAACCTCCAGCCGGAAAGCCAACGAGAGCGTTTGCTCGTCCCTTCCAGCAGCGCAAGAGGATGATGCCCCAGAATACATAGCTAATCCAGGCGAATAGCGCTATGGCAACTGCTACGGTAAACTTGGCATCGTCAGGAGTGAGCAATCGCAGCGAGCCTCGACCGGGAATAGTGTACAAGGAGCGCCAGGCCGGGTTCAATGGTCGTCGTGGGCTCTTAGCATAATAACTCTATGGATACAACTGTAGTATATTTTGATATTCACGTATGCAAACACGCAGAAACGGGGTGAAACTAAGCAGTCGCCCACTGCCTCGACAGTAGATGATGCAGAATAAGCAGATGCAAATATTTTGTCCATTTTCTGTGATATGTCCCACCAGGAGACAGTCGGCCTCTGGGCCAAGGTTGATGGTCGATGTGCTGCCTGTTGTTGCCCAGCTCGCAGAACACGCGGGCGAGAGTGGCAGGCGCCGTCCTTGGAGCCATCCACTTTGACAATGCCACCTCGAAAGTCGACCAAACCGAATCAGAGTCCCTCTACTGCTGCAGGGAGATCTTCAAGAAAGAGGGATCAACTACAAACAACGGCCAGTATCGCACTGGATATAGTCGCAAATGTAACAGGGGCGTCGGATATCCTCGCTCCTCTCACGGCAGCCTGCAAAACAACAAAGTCGATCATTGATGTCAAGCAAGTAAGTAGACGCGCCCGGAATAGCACTGGCTGATCAACTGACAGACTATCGACGATAATCAAGGAGACTGGAACGACCTAGTACGCCGCCTGGAGGAATATATGTGGGCTATTGAGAGCCAAATCGACTCTCTCGAAAAGTATCCTCCAGAAGATAGAGTCGTCGACGAAGCCTTTAGCCAGCCACTCATTCGTTATGTCGAGTAAGTCGGCACATCAACTCTGGCCCTGCCGATTGATTTCCTCAGACTTCTCGAGGATATTCATTGCGCAATCGTCAATAATGCACATAAGAGACCTCGCACCAGGCGCAGTGCTGTTATGGCCATCGGGAATGTGAAGATTGACGCTGGACTCATTCGCAAGTTCAATCGAGATATCGAGGACCGGCATAGGCAGTTCATGGTGAGATTCTCAGGCCATATAATCGTAATCTCACATGCAAAATAGGAGGCGTTGGCTCTTTTCACAGGTCATCGTATCCAGGTCATCGAACAGCACACTAAATCGACAGCGGCCAAGGTTGAAACAATCGTCTCGGACAGTAAGCTAAGACTTACCTATAGACGCCTCGCTAAACACCCCAAGTCGATGCATCTTTCATATGCCAACTCCCGGTCGTGGCATTCGTCCCGTCCTCAGTCCATAGCACCTGTTTACAAGGGACTCGTCTGGATGTTCTCGAGAAAATCAAGACATGGGCCGAAGACGATACATCTGATAAACCAATATTCTGGCTCTGCGACGTAGCCGGTTCGGGCAAATCCACCGTCGCAATGTCGGCAGCGGAGACGTGGCGTGCGGAGGGAACCCTCGGAGGCCAGTTCTTCTTTTCAATCGCAAACAGCGAGACGTCGAATACCGAAAAGTTCTGCTCGACGAAAGCGGGTAGTTCTCATCGTCGACGCCGTGGATGAATGCAAATCCGGACCGCAACGAAGCGAACTTCTCGACACGTTCGTCAAAGCCGCTCGAGAAAGCAGGAATCTCAAGATCTTCATTACCAGTCGGCCAGACCCTGTAATTGAATCAGTTCTTCAGCCACTCTCAATTAAATCCAAGCTCGAAGATCGGCTCCACGATATCACTTACCGTGACAACATGGATGACATCGCCACCTATGTCCATCAATCACTCTACACCGTTCTGCCCGAGGACAAGCGGCAACAGCTCATTGAGAAGGCGCACGGATTATTCATCTGGGCGAGCACCGCATGTCGAATGATCAATAGCAAGACAGCATGGGACACCCCCGAGACTATATACGACTGGTTGACTTCGGTGGACCAAAGTGGAGATATAGACGATGTATACAAGCTCATTTTTGAGCGCGTAGACCCCAGATTCCACACGGTCATGTGCGGCATGCTGGCACTACTGCTTGCCGCATTCGAACCACTGACCGCCAACGACCTCGACAACATTCTTAAGCATATCGGACTACGCGGATACTCCGATGCGTTGATTCGGAACCTTGGAAGTGTCCTTATACAGGACAAAGCAACAAAAGTTATTCAATTTCGTCATCCGACTCTTGTTGAGTACCTGCGACGCTGCTATGACACTCCAGTCCCCGAAGAATCAAGCAGCATCTACATCAACATTCACGATGCACATGGTCAAATTGCGTCGTGGTGCTTCAGTAACCTTCAATCACGACAGGGAGGACTCAAGTTCAACGTATGTGAAATCGAGTCGTCGTTCTATCGAAACCGAGATCTACCGGATCTAGAGGCGAGAGTATCCAAGTTTATTGGAAGAAACCTTGGATATTCCAGTTTACATTGGCCGTTTCATATGGCCCAGGCGGATAGTAATTGGAGAAGCAAGCTCAGAAATGAGCTTAGGCAGATGATTCGGATCCCATACATATTATACTGGATGGAGGTGCTGAGCTTCATCCAAGGGGTTCCTCGAGCTATAGATGGCCTTCGGGCTATGACTCGAGATACTGTGAGTGCCTTATCTCGACACATGCTCATTGATTGACACGAATAAAAGACTGAGAAAGAGACAAGAAGTCGCATAATAAATGTGAGACGATTTATGATGGCATTTTCAGTACCTATTCAAGAGAGTGCTCCACATATCTACGTCTCGGCGCTTCCATTCACTCCTATAGAATCATACCTGCATATGGAGGGCTTAGATATGTATAAGGGCACTCTCAAGGTGACAAAAGGGCTCGAACAGAGATACCGAGGACTTCCAGAAGCACTTCGTGGACATACAGAAGTGGTCGAGACAGTCGCATTTTCACCAGACGGCTCGCGAATCGTCTCTGGGTCGTGGGATCAGACAATTCGACTATGGGATGCGGAGACTAGCCAGTCGTTGGGAGAGCCACTCCGAGGCCACACAGGCCCGGTCACCGCCGTCGCATTCTCACCAGACGGCTCGCGAGTCGTCTCTGGTTCGGATGATCAGACGATTCGACTATGGGATGCAGAGACTGGCCAGTCGTCGGGAGAGCCACTCCGAGGCCACACAGGCGCGGTCACCGCCCTCGCATTCTCACCAGATGGCTTGCGAATCGTCTCTGGGTCGTGGGATGACACAATTCGACTATGGGATGCAGAGACTGGCCAGTCGTTGGGAGAGCCACTTCGAGGCCACCCAGGCGAGGTCAGCGCCGTCGCATTCTCACCAGACGGCTCGCGAATCGTCTCTGGGGCATGGGATAATACGATTCGACTATGGAATGCGGAGACTGGCCAGTCGTCGGGAGAGCCACTCCGAGGCCACAGTGGTGTGGTCAACGCCGTCGCATTCTCGCAAGATAGCTTCCTAATTATGACCGGCTCTGCAGACTCCACAGTTAGACTGAGTGACACCGCGTTCGGTTCGTTCCACTTTACCCCTGTTTCACCGTCATGCTTTAAGCTCACAAATTCCCCTAGTTCAGCCATCTAGTCCGAATGGTCACCTGAGCCACCCAACTGAGGGCAGCATCATCTCGCATCAAAACTTCATGGCCTTACTCAGAGTAATTCTCTCCCATATTCGAAGATTTCCTCTCTCTGATGATGGTTGGGTGCATCTCTCCGGTAAACTTCTGTTCTGGGTACCACCAGACAATCGGCTCTCATTAACGTCTCCATTACTGCTCACTATACCGACATCCAGCCCTCCTTACCCAACAAAAATAGATTTCACACGGTTTGAATACGGCTCTTCTTGGACAAACGTTCGAGGCAACGTCAATCAATGAACTGTAGCGAGCGAGAACAGGATCATGATTTTACTTTCGTACTTGCGAGACTCAGCTAGTAAGCTCCATCGTCTTGCGGGTCCAAATGTTCGGGGATAAATTGTTCCACACAATGATCATCGTGTCCAAACTGTACCCGTTCATATTCTAGACCAGCTATATATCAAAAATATAATCCCAGATCTATAAATCATGCGAGTCCATGGGATCGTCACCGAAGCTCCAGGGGCCAATCTCGTCTTCTCATCCATCGGCCCCGCTCATCGAAACGCGGGTTGAGCGGATAATCAAGACCAGCACGCGAGGTGTCGCCAATCGGCACTTTGGTATTGTAAGCCATTTGAATCTCAACATGGAAGAGAATACGTACGAAACCATGTCCATGGATTATGTCCCATGACCGCCTCCCAGTTGGCACGACCAGATCCCAACCTACCCAATCGTCAGGAAGGAAAACGATAGGAATAAAGACGCACCACCACAAATTTCCCTCCTTGCCTATTCTGCCCCACTCCTCGTCCCACCGCTCCCGCAGTGCCTTTCTCCCTTTGAACCCAGCTGGAAGTCCCAGTTCCTTGACAGCATCACCCGCACCACTGCGCCAAGGAGAGTCATCTTTTCGTCCTAAGAGCCCTCCATTCTCATGCGAACCCATTCCAAGACATTGACAGACAGGAATCGCCTGACTCAGCACGGCTCGTTCGCGTTCTCGCATATTTTGTATGCCATGCCATTCGACCGTACTCGCGTTTCGACGGAGGAGATGAACATGCGTGAAGAGCATACCGGATGAGAAGAGGCAGAGCAGTCCAGAGATGATGATGAGTGCGAGAAAGTTGCCGTCTATACCAATACTATCAAATGTTGCTGGTGCATTTGATGGGATATGAGTTCCGGTCGCTTTTTGCACAATGGCCGCGATGAGAAGGCCAATTGTGTAGAGAAGATAGAGGGTGCACCAGAAGAGAAAGACAACGAAGAACTAGTAATGGTCAGTCGCGTCCACAAGCGTCATAGAGTTTGACCAACCTTTCGATTTTGCGCTCCTACACATCCACCAATCCATGGACAGTGATGGTCATAGCCTAGAACACACTACAAAGGTTAGTACGTCTTCTCCTGCGACGACGAACAGGGCTCACTGTGTTGCATATCCGACAATGATGTGCTCTCATCGGTTTGATAATCATATCTCTCGAGCAATATCGGTAATATGGATCCAGGATTGGCATATCAGATGGCCTTCGACTCCATCTCGACATAATAGGTGGCAAGTCGTCTAAATATGGCTGAGGTCGTGCAATCTCATCTTCTCCAAACGGCTCTGTCCGGCCGCTTACATCAAAATTTGGATGACGCGCAGACGGAGCGAGGCCAGGCGTAGGCATAGCCGAAGCAGAAGGCGTCGGCATCGTCGTAGGGACATTTGGCGTCTTGACACCAGACTTGGAATTGGTTCGTGAGTGCGTTTGCGAAGAGAGTCTCGGAGGTTCAAAGATGTAGGATGACGATTCGAATCGATAGCCGCTCGTGCCCGTCTTGATAGGCGGAGGACGCTTGGTCGTTGTGGATGGGAAAGAGGAAAGTCCGGGCGATGCTGGAGGCGAGTTGGACTGGTGGCTGCTCAAGCTATTACCACGGGTAATCTTGAGCGGTTTCGACTTTTGAGTCTTGATAGACTCCGTCGGTCGAGTTTCAGCAGACACTCGTGATGATGAGAAGGATGGTTTTGGTTGGGACTGGGTCGGGGTTGGGATCGAATTTGCGCTAGTCCGTTTCGAGTCTTTACGGAGAACGGCGGGCTTGGGTTGCGATATACCATTCGGAGACGTAGGCATCGTCGGAGAATGTGGTTCAGTCTGTTCTCGGATGGTATGAGGTGTCGGTGGAATGGCCGTTGTGCTGCCGGAGCGAGTATGTCCATTCGGACGTACGCTCATGGCTTCATATGGAACACCGATAGTTTGACTGTTTCCTTCGTCCTCCATGTCGTCTTCTTGGGAGACTGGCCGATTCGTGGGTGAGTCGTTCCTCGATACTGGGCCGATATTCCGATCCAGCTGCATTGTGTGATGGAGGGTAGACAATTGCAGGCACTGGTCTTGATGCGGGCGCAGCTGCAGGTTCTGACAAGGCACTGCCCAGTGGGTCGGGTGGCGGGTCAGAGGCCAGAGGTGGGTCGCTCTTGGTGACAAAATCCATGGCGAAACCTGGTCCAGTGAATATTATCTGAAATTACTGTCAGATGCATCCGAGAAAGAGCGAGAAATGCCGACCTTTGTGTATGTGACGACAAACATAACGGCGAATAGGCCATAGAATATGGATAAGACGACTGTCAAAAGACGAATATTAGCCATCGAGGTTGCGTACGAGTAGATATAATGTACGAACCTCCAGCCGGAAAGCCAACGAGAGCATCCGCTCGTCTCTTCCAGCAGCGCAAGAGGATGATGCCCCAGAATACATAGCTACTCCAGGCGAATAGTGCTATGACGACTGCTACGGTAAACTTGGCGTCGTCAGGAGTGAGCAATCGCAGCGAGCCTGGGCCTCGTACTGACCTTCCGCTCTAGCCATGGTTTAGGCCCCGTACGCCGTCTGTCCTTTTCGTCTGCCTTTGCTATTGCAACTTCGAAGGAAGTGGAGATGCATGAGCACGGATTGCTGGATTTTGCGTGTGCTCGCCGCTTTGCAGACTTTGTCGTGGACTTGGTGCGGTTGGTGTGCGTCGAGGTCGACATGAACGACGACCGGAATAGCAGCTGGACGCTGGAGGGCGTGTACAAGGAGCGCCAGGTCAAATGGATCCGTCGTGGTAGACTCTAAGCCAGGGTTTGTGATGCATCTGTTAACTGCGATAGGCCTGATTGCCATTTATGGTAATTGACTACAAGCCCCATATGTAGACTTCTAGTGAGTACGCTGCGTCATAGTGGCGCATCATAGTGGCCCATCTTGACCACTTACTCTGTCGTTTTCCACTTGGTTTTGGACATGGCATCCCTCACATCCACGTCCATTCGATACCCCATGTTCTGCCTGTTGCTCCTGCTCGCGTATGCTAATGCCTTTACCTTTCGTTTCTCGTCTCCACCAGCCCAATGCGCCCGTATGAGAGCCATTTGGCAAGGCGGCTCTCCACCGTACACGCTCCTCATGGTCCCAGTCGACTTTATGCCCCAGGGAACAGAAACTAGAGTCATCTTTGAACGCACCGTCACCACGGGTAATCAACTCGAGTTTACATTTCCCTTTCCTGCGCGTACAAGGTAACCTTAGTTGCTATTGCCTTGCTGTCCTTGCTAATGCCATCCAGATTTGCAGCCATCATGAGCGACTCGACGGGCTTTGGCACTGGAGGAACGTCGCCTCTGCTCACCGTTCAATCCTCCAACTCGTCATCCTGTCTATCCACCACACCCTCGGCCCCCGAATTCTACTTCTTCCTCTCGTCACCTACACTCACCCAATGCTCGCCTGTTCATATTTCATGGGACACTCCCTCTGCTCCACCAGTCACTGTCTATGGAATCATTCCCCGCGGACAATCCTTTGATCTCAACGCGGCTTCCCGTGCAAATGGAGGTCGTGGATTCGACTGGACTGTCAATGTTCGTAGCGGCACTCAGTTCTTCTTTGTCGTCGGAGACAAGAATGGGAGTGGAAAGGGAGGGAGTTCAGATGTAACAACCATTCGAGGAGGGTCAAGTGCCTGTATCGATGCCAGTTCACCTAGCCAGACGGCAGATTCAGGGGTGGGAGGAACTGAACCACTGCCATCTTCTGGAACTACTGGCTCTGGACCAGATTCTAGTGGTTCAGGCTCGAGCTCTAGCACGACTGGTAACGGCAATGGATCTGGATCTGGCTCTGGCAGTACTGATGGAGGAGGAAATACGGACGGTGCAAGTGGCTCTACCAATGGAGGAAATCCAGGACAAGGTGGAACCAATACGGCTGGCTCAGGTGGTGGCACAGTCTATGGACCTCTTGACCCTACCTCGCCAGCACAAGCAGCCAAGTACGTAGCACTACTCTTCTGTACACTCCTTTTAGTATAATCTACAGTCTCTCTTTCATATCCACTGACTCTTTTCCAGCGAGAATGACCATCGTCAGTCCAAACTCGGATTGATCCTGGGCCTTGTACTCGGATTATCAGGACTAGGCCTCGTCGTAGGGTTCTGCTTACTCGCTTACAAACGACACAAGCGTCAAGTCGAACGACGAGACAACCAACGCGCACGTCTACTCGCAACGTCAGACGTGTCGGAAGTACACCTACCGGCATCGTCCAATTTTCGCGATATGCCGCATACACGACCGACAGCACGATGGCCAGGGACAAGTTTGGAAAACCTGGGCTCGACATTTCGCACTACGCCATTCGTCTGGCCACTCACCGGGAGTGCAAGTGGACGCGCGAGTCCAGATCCACGCGTCGTTTCACCCTACCTCCCACTAGATCATACACGAGGGCAAGTCGACGGCATCTCCACACCCGACAATGTCGCTGTTGGAAGCACGACGGCCCGTCCGCAACTCGAAAATCGGAGCACGAGTTCCGGAATTCTACGACGTTTACGGAGTGCACGGTCTGGACTCGGATTTCCATTCGGTGGGAATAGTCGCAATACAAGCAACAGCGGCTACAAGAGTCTGGCAGACGAAAACTCGACGCCAAGCAGTAACATGCGCAACGCAACGACGGGTCCCTCTTCCGGCTCGCTATCACTCTCCACACCATCTCCATTTGTACCACCGCCAATAGGCCACTTGCCTCACGATTCCAACGACTCGAGTGGCTCGTCGGCGATGAGATCACGCATCGAACACAAGAGCCCACTCCCACCAAGCTATCGACAACACGTGAGCAATACAAGCCACGGCTCACATGGCTCGCGCTTCTCCGCATCAGGACACCCACTCCCCAACCAAAATCAACAACCACAACTCCCATCAAGCCAAGCGCACCAAGACACGGCAGCTTATCCATCGGATGGAAATCCATTCAACGACGGGCTCGCGGTGCCGATTTCAATCGCACCTGGTCGTCTCGAGTCCACGCCACTTGGTCCGCGACCGCTCGCGGGTGCACGTGAAGATTCGTTTTCTGGGTTGAGCGCGAGTTTGCTTCGGAGACCGGATATGGCGAGGTTGGATACGGGTGGGAGTATCTGGGAAGTTCCGCCAACGTACAATAGCCTCGCTCGTCAACGAGGTCTTGAATGATCTTTGATGAAATGGACACCATGATTTAGAATAGTGTATTCGTAAATTGTACATGGCAACAAGGACAATGACTGTTGGGAATAGAATTGATAAATTAATCAAGCTAACAATAGGAGTAAATGGCAACAGCAGAATGCGCGACCCATGGCTCGATAGATATACTCCTCACCATGCTGTAGGTGACAACGATGCGTTCAAGGGGTTCTCGCTTCCTGGACCTCTATCGACGCGCACGTGAACTTTGATATGTATTGAATCGAGATGCCGAATCTTGTTGCGCTCACCCGCTACATATCATTGATTAATGCTGTCTCGGACTTTTGTCCATGAAGGGCCACAGTGGAAATGAGCGAAGTCGAATTTGGTCGGGTAGGGAGGGCTGGACGTTGGTAAGTTGAGGAGGAGTGGAGACGCTAATGAGAGCCGATTGTCTGGTGGAACCCAAAATAGAAGCTTCCCTGAGAGATGCACCCAACCGTCATCAGAGAGAGTAAATGTTCGGAGCTGGGAAAGCATAACTTTCAATAAAGCCAGGGTATTTTGATGCGAGATAAGGCCATCCTGGATTGACTGGCTCAACTGACCATTATGGTTGGATAACTCGGCTACGGGAATTTGTAAGCTTCCGGCATCACGGGGGGAAAAGGAATGAAGGGAAACGAACCAAATGCGGTGTTCCATAGTGCAATTGTGCTGCCAGCCGGAACCGACGTGATTTCCAAGCCGTCTGGTGAGAATGCAACGGCGCCTCCCCAGTCTGTGTGGCCTCGGAGTGGGTCTCCCAACGACTGGCCCGTCTCCGCATTCCATAGTCGAATCGTATTATCATCCGAGCCAGAGACGATTCGCGAGCCGTCTGGTGAGAATGCGACGGCCCTGACCCAGTTTGTGTGGCCTCGGAGTGGGTCTCCCAACGACTGGCCCGTCTCCGCATTCCATAGTCGAATGGTATGATCGCGCGAGCCAGAGACGATTCGCGAGCCGTCTGGTGAGAATGCGACGGCGGTGACCGAGTTTGTGTGGCCTCGGAGTGGGTCTCCCAACGACTGGCCCGTCTCCGCATTCCATAGTCGAATGGTATGATCGCCCGAGCCAGAGACGATTCGCGAGCCGTCTGGTGAGAATGCGACGGCGCTGACCCAGTTTGTGTGGCCTCGGAGTGGGTCTCCCAACGACTGGCCCGTCTCCGCATTCCATAGTCGAATGGTATGATCGCCCGAGCCAGAGACGATTCGCGAGCCGTCTGGTGAGAATGCGACGGCGCTGACCCAGTTTGTGTGGCCTCGGAGTGGGTCTCCCAACGACTGGCCCGTCTCCGCATTCCATAGTCGAATGGTATGATCGCCGAGCCAGAGACGATTCGCGAGCCGTCTGGTGAGAATGCGACGGCGGTGACCGAGTTTGTGTGGCCTCGGAGTGGGTCTCCCAACGACTGGCCCGTCTCCGCATTCCATAGTCGAATGGTATGATCGCCCGAGCCAGAGACGATTCGCGAGCCGTCTGGTGAGAATGCGACGGCGGTGACCGAGTTTGTGTGGCCTCGGAGTGGGTCTCCCAACGACTGGCCCGTCTCCGCATTCCATAGTCGAATCGTCTTATCATCCGAGCCAGAGACGATTCGCGAGCCGTCTGGTGAGAATGCGACGGCGCTGACCCAGTTTGTGTGGCCTCGGAGTGGGTCTCCCAACGACTGGCCCGTCTCCGCATTCCATAGTCGAATGGTATGATCGCCCGAGCCAGAGACGATTCGCGAGCCGTCTGGTGAGAATGCGACGGCGCTGACCCAGTTTGTGTGGCCTCGGAGTGGGTCTCCCAACGACTGGCCCGTCTCCGCATTCCATAGTCGAATGGTATGATCGCCCGAGCCAGAGACGATTCGCGAGCCGTCTGGTGAGAATGCGACGGCGGTGACCCAGTTTGTGTGGCCTCGGAGTGGGTCTCCCAACGACTGGCCCGTCTCCGCATTCCATAGTCGAATCGTCTTATCATCCGAGCCAGAGACGATTCGCGAGCCGTCTGGTGAGAATGCGACGGCCCTGACCGAGTTTGTGTGGCCTCGGAGTGGGTCTCCCAACGACTGGCCCGTCTCCGCATTCCATAGTCGAATCGTCGTATCCCACGAGCCAGAGACGATTCGCGAGCCGTCTGGTGAGAATGCGACGGCGGTGACCGAGTTTGTGTGGCCTCGGAGTGGGTCTCCCAACGACTGGCCCGTCTCCGCATTCCATAGTCGAATCGTGTGATCGTGCGAGCCAGAGACGATTCGCGAGCCGTCTGGTGAGAATGCGACGGCCCTGACCCAGTTTGTGTGGCCTCGGAGTGGGTCTCCCAACGACTGGCCCGTCTCCGCATTCCATAGTCGAATCGTGTTATCATCCGAGCCAGAGACGATTCGCGAGCCGTCTGGTGAGAATGCGACGGCCCTGACCGAGTTTGTGTGGCCTCGGAGTGGGTCTCCCAACGACTGGCCCGTCTCCGCATTCCATAGTCGAATCGTCTTATCCCACGAGCCAGAGACGATTCGCGAGCCGTCTGGTGAGAATGCGACGGCCCTGACCGAGTTTGTGTGGCCTCGGAGTGGGTCTCCCAACGACTGGCCCGTCTCCGCATTCCATAGTCGAATCGTCTTATCATCCGAGCCAGAGACGATTCGCGAGCCGTCTGGTGAGAATGCGACGGCCCTGACCCAGTTTGTGTGGCCTCGGAGTGGGTCTCCCAACGACTGGCCCGTCTCCGCATTCCATAGTCGAATCGTCGTATCCCACGAGCCAGAGACGATTCGCGAGCCGTCTGGTGAGAATGCGACGGCGGTGACCGAGTTTGTGTGGCCTCGGAGTGGGTCTCCCAACGACTGGCCCGTCTCCGCATTCCATAGTCGAATCGTGTGATCGTGCGAGCCAGAGACGATTCGCGAGCCGTCTGGTGAGAATGCGACGGCGGTGACCGAGTTTGTGTGGCCTCGGAGTGGGTCTCCCAACGACTGGCCCGTCTCCGCATTCCATAGTCGAATCGTGTGATCGTGCGAGCCAGAGACGATTCGCGAGCCGTCTGGTGAGAATGCGACGGCCGTGACCCAGTTTGTGTGGCCTCGGAGTGGGTCTCCCAACGACTGGCCCGTCTCCGCATTCCATAGTCGAATCGTGTTATCCCACGAGCCAGAGACGATTCGCGAGCCGTCTGGTGAGAATGCGACGGCGGTGACCGAGTTTGTGTGGCCTCGGAGTGGGTCTCCCAACGACTGGCCCGTCTCCGCATTCCATAGTCGAATCGTCTTATCATCCGAGCCAGAGACGATTCGCGAGCCGTCTGGTGAGAATGCGACGGCCCTGACCCAGTTTGTGTGGCCTCGGAGTGGGTCTCCCAACGACTGGCCCGTCTCCGCATTCCATAGTCGAATCGTGTTATCATCCGAGCCAGAGACGATTCGCGAGCCGTCTGGTGAGAATGCGACGGCCCTGACCGAGTTTGTGTGGCCTCGGAGTGGGTCTCCCAACGACTGGCCCGTCTCCGCATTCCATAGTCGAATCGTGTGATCGTGCGAGCCAGAGACGATTCGCGAGCCGTCTGGTGAGAATGCGACGGCGGTGACCCAGTTTGTGTGGCCTCGGAGTGGGTCTCCCAACGACTGGCCCGTCTCCGCATTCCATAGTCGAATCGTCTTATCATCCGAGCCAGAGACGATTCGCGAGCCGTCTGGTGAGAATGCGACGGCGGTGACCGAGTTTGTGTGGCCTCGGAGTGGGTCTCCCAACGACTGGCCCGTCTCCGCATTCCATAGTCGAATGGTATGATCGCCCGAGCCAGAGACGATTCGCGAGCCGTCTGGTGAGAATGCGACGGCGGTGACCGAGCTTGTGTGGCCTCGGAGTGGTTCTCCCAACGACTGGCCCGTCTCCGCATCCCATAGTCGAATCGTATTATCATACGATCCAGAGACAATGCGTGAGCCGTCTGGTGAAAATGCGATTGCCATGACCATATTTGTATGTCCCCGAAGCGCTTCTGGAAGTCCCCGGTATGTCTTCTCCAGCCCTCTAGTCACTTTGAGAGTGTTCTTATACATATCTAACCCCTCAATATGCAGATGCGATTCTGTAGGTGTGAACGGAAGCGCCGAGATGTAGATGTGCGGAGCACTCTCTTGAATAGGTACTGAAAATGCCATCATAAACCGCATCACTTCACTTATGCGGCTCTTAGCCTCTTTTTCAACCTTTCCTTTGTTAAAAATGCGAATATATTGAGGCGAGCCACTCACAGTATTGCGCGTCACAGCTCGGAGCCCATCTATAGCTCGAGGCAGTCCTCCAATCAGGCTCAGGACCTCCATCCAATATAGTACATATGGAACTCGAATAATCTGTTCAACTTCATTTCTGAGCTTGCTTCTCCATTTGCTATCCGTTTCGGCCATATGAAACGGCCAGTGTAAACTCGCATATCGAACGTTCATTCTGATGAACTTTGATATTCTTGCCTCTAGATCCGGCATCTCTCTGTTTCGATAGAAGGACGACTCGATTTCACATATATTGAACTTGAGGCCTTCCTTCGGTGCTTGAAGATTATTGAAACCCCACGATGCAATTTGACCGTGCGCATTGGCGATATCTATATACATTCCACTCAGCTCTTTGAGGTCTGGGCCTAGACAGCGCCGTCGCAGATATTCCACAAGAGTAGGGTGACGAAACTGAATGACTTTTGTTGCTTCATCTTCGATAAGAACACTTCCAAGGTTTCGAATCAACCCTTGGAATTTCCCCGTAGTCTGCTATGCTTGAGAATATTATCAAGATCCTCGGCGGTAAGTGGTTCGAATGCAGCGAGGAGTAGCGCAAGCATGCTCCACATGATGGTATGGTATTTGGGATCTGTCCTCTCGAAGATGAGTTTGTATACCTCGTCGATCTCTCCAGTTTGGTCCGCTGAGACCAACGAGCCATATATGCTCTCAGGCGCTTCCCATGTCGTTTCATTGTTGATCATCCGACATGCGGTACTGGCCCAGATGAACAACCCGCTCGACTTCTCAATCAGCCGTTGCCTCTTGTCCTGGGGCAGAACGGTGTAGAGTGATTGGTGGACATAGGCGGCGATGTCATCCACGTTGTCACGATGTTTAATATCGTGGAGTCGGTCTTCCAGTTTAGATTTGATCGAGAGTGGCTGAAGAACTGATTCGATGACAGGGTCTGGCCGACTCGTAATGAAGATCTTGACGTTCCTGCTTTCTCGAACGGCTTTAGCGAGCGTGTCGAGAAGCTCCCTTCGCTGAGGTCCGGATTTGCACTCGTCTATAGCGTCGACAATGAGAACTACACGCTCCTGTCGATAGCGGAGTGGATCGGTGATGAGTGTGCGGAACTGTTCTTCAAGTGAGCTTCGCATGATCGAAGGATTTCGCTTCACAGCATCTGCGACGTGCGGTGCGAGTTCTGGAATGTGATGGACAAGATCTCTTGCCATAGTCGAACAGAACTTTTCGGTGGTCGATGTATCGTTATTGGACATTGAAAAGAAAAACTGGCCTCCTAGAGCTCTTTCCGTGCGCCACGATGCCGCTACTGACATGGCGACTGTGGACTTGCCGGAGCCAGCTATGTCGCAAAGCCAGAATATTCGTTTATCCGAGGTATCGTCCTCGGCCCAGTTCCGGATTGTCTGGAGAACAGCCTGACGTGTGCCTTGTAGACAGGTGGTGTGTACCGAGGATGGGACGAATGCCACCATCGGGAGTTGGAATATGAAAGATGCATCGACTTGGATATTTTAGCGAACCTCTTATTAGCAACTCTTTGCTTACCGTCCGACTTGGTGGCCTTGGTGTTCCGTTCGATGACCTGAACGCGGTGTCCAATGAACAGATCCAAAGCGGCCTATTTCGCAGGTCAGATTTGACTATATGATCGGACGTCCTCACCGTGAATTGCCTATGTCGATCCTCGATCTCTTGGTTGAATTTTAGAATCATCCCAGCGTCGATCCTCACATTTCCGATGGCTGTAAAAGCACTGCGGCTGGTGCGGCGTCGCTTATGCGCATCATTGACAATGGCACAATGAATATCCTCGAGAAGTCTGCATCAATCAGTCGACTAAGCCAGAGTTGATGTGCCGACGTACTCGACATAACGAACGAGAGGCTGGCTAAACGCCTCGTCGACAGCCCTATCCTCTGGAGGATACTTTTCGAGAGAGTCGATTTGGCTCTCGATAGCCCACATATATTCCTCCAGGCGGCGTACTAGGTCGTTCCAGTCTCCTTGATTGTCATCGATGGTCTATCATGTTCATCAGATATCGCCATTCCATGGTTTTGTACTTACCTGCTTGACGTCGATGATTGACTTTGTTGTTTTGCAGGCTGCCTTGAGAGGCGCGAGGATATCCGACGCCTCTGCTACGTTTGCGACTACATCCAGTGCGATGCTGGCCGCATTTTGGACTTGATCCCTCTTTCTTGAAGATCTTTCTGCAGCAGTAGAGAGACCTTGATTTGGTTTGGTCGACGTTTGAGGTGGCATTGCCAACGCGGATGGCTCCAAGGTCGGCGTCTGCCACTCTCTGCCGCGTGCTCTCAACGAGCCTCGATCACGTACTCTGTGCTCAGCATATTCAACTCTAGCTAGCAATATCAGGGCCAAACGCATCGTTACGTTCACACTTTGGCGAACCAAGCCAAATAGATTCTTGTAATCATAGAAATCTCACAGACACGTCACATAGAATTAATAAATTTCATCCTAGAGTGAAGCCAATAAAGGAGCGAATAGCAACAACCAGATGTGTGCTTAGGGGTGGAATGCACGGGGTGGATGCGGGGGGAGGAATTCGTTATAGGAGCGAGCGGGAGGTTTACGTTGTCCAAAAATGTCCAATATGCCAAACACGACTTGTTCTCTCGAGCCACGACTCGATTCAAAAACCAAAGACCCAAATGCACCACTCGTCTAGAGAGTCAAACGCCCGACCCTCTAGAGAGTCAAATGCCCGACTCGTCTAAAAGAGGAGAGCCGATCCAAAGACCAACGACGCAACGACGGCAAATGCGTTGACAGAAAGTTGGAATCCAGCATTGGGATCATCGGAACCAGGCGTAGCCGTCGACGACGCGACGCGGGTGAGGGTACGTGTAACGGTACCATCCGCAACGACCGTCGTCTGCAATGTCGTTCCCTCGTTATCACTGCCCGTCAAGGCAGCGACATAGGCTGGGTTACCCATATCCGAATTCGTCTCGAGGTACGCATCGCGGAGCGACAACTTGCCCTGTCCATCCGAACGAGCAAGGCACTCGGTGACCGTCTTGAGATTCCACCTGGGGTTGTGGGCCTGTGCGTACGGAATGGTGTAACCAATAGCGAGGTTGACCGACTCGACGTAAATGTCGTGTTGGAGGACGACGACACCTTGCTGTGTAGGCGAGTACGAGACGGACGACGTGTTGGCGAATTGCGGAGAGCTGTCCATGATGCGCTCAAACTGGGCCTGGTTAGCGACGGACTGGACCGTGCCGGCGTGGACACGCCAATCTAGACGGATCCGTTGAGTTAATAATGTCGTCTTGGCAAAGAAGTTGCTTACCTTGTGTGTCCCATTGAATCGAATCACCGCCCGCCGGCACGCCTTCTCGGCTGGCCGTCCAAAGAACGGGTCTCATTCCCATGGCAAGGGCAATTGCTCTAAATTGGTGCCGGTGAGGGGACGCCAAGGCCGAGCGACGGAGGGCGCTTACCTGACACGGTCGTCAATATCGCCGTATGGAGGGCGGAACGTCAGCGGAGTGACGCCAATCACGTCTCGAATAGCCTTGCGTGTCCAGCCAAGCTCGGCAACAATCTGCGACATGTTAGAAAGCATTGCCAAAAAGCAATGTCTAGGAGCGCACCTGCTCATTGGTGAGAGTCGTGAGCGCCGAGTGACTCCAAGTGTGACCTGAAATTTCATGATTGTTCATGTACTCGTAAACGACGATTTCCGGACGAGAAATGACACGAGCGCCGACGACGTAAAAGGTGGCCTTGACGCCTGGAGAGGCGTTTGCGGCACCCTCTGCATTGGAATTGGACGGGAGCGAGTTAAGATAGGTCAAAAGCTTGTTTGTGTAGAACCCGGGACCGTCATCGTATGTGTGACCCCAATCCCATTGGTCCTTGCACTGGCTAATGTCCGTGTCGCGGAGGCAGCCACCGCACGTCCACCAGCATTGGCCGTTTGCGCCTGCATTGGCGAGTGCAGCTGCGTTGCGGGCGTCTCCACAATCAACGGTAGGGTTGACGGCAATATTGGGGATATTATGACCCTCGAGTTCCTTGAGCCACTCTTGAACTTCTGGCGAGTTTGTGGGAGGAATAGAGGCGAGATCTGGCCATTGGCTGGGTACAATGGTGTCTGATTCTTGTTAGCTATAGTCCACTGGTAATAAGTAAGACGTACAAGCAGGAAGCGGAGGTGCATTGCTAATAGGAGGCTGTTGACCAGCGGTATAGGTAGCGATGACGGGGAGAGTGTTCTCGGTATAAGTCACGGGCGTCGCGGTAATGGACGCGAGCGGAGGGACATCATAAGCAGGACCAGTGGGATAGGGCGTGGGCTGAGACTGGCGTTTGACGAGGTCTGGATTCTGGACAACTGGCGTGGGCATTGGAACGCGCTTTCGCAAAAACTCTGGAGGCGCATGGTCACCACAGGCGACGACCGAGGAGACAGAGGCAGCGACAACGACGAGGACTTTGGCGAGAGACGCCATTTTAGAAATTACGAGGGGAAGAGGAAGAGAGCAAGATCAACAAGCAGCAACGGAGCGGGAAAATAAAACGAAATGCGAGGAAAGGTCTTGGCACTTGGTAGTGGCAATGCTCACCACCTGCAAATATTCTTGAATTCTGACCATCCTGGGCGACAGGGCACTGGATGGATGAAACAAATGGTAATTCATCACTATTTGGTATTTACAACACTAACCAATGACAGACCCACCACCCAACTATGACGACGCAGCTGAGGAGAGTGATGGCACTCTGGACAATGTCACTACATCTGTAATAACAACAACTACTACTACAACGCGTGTACAGCGTGCACGCTCTGCCCGTCCATCCGCTGCCTCGGCCTCGCGCAGACCAACGCGCAGCAAATCCATCGAATCATTCCAATCAAATAGAACATCAGATCCATATCTCGACTCGTTACTCGCTCGCTCTGTTGCTGCACTCGAACTGTCCAATGCACTCCTCCAGAGCACAATGGCCACAAAATCCACCCTCTCCAGTGTCCTCGCAAGTGAAGAAGAGCTAGAACGTCAGGAGAGAGCGTTTGAACAGCGACTACTCGAGAGCAACGGCATCGGTCTAGCAGAAGAGCGCAAGATGGCTTGGATGAAGGAAATGGAAAACATTGTTCGCGACGTAGAAAGTCTCTTTGACATTCCAAACTCAACTTCCAACACTCCTGCGTCTACCTTGGGCCGTCGTACAGGAATAGACGCCGCCTCTGCATCCGCTCCTCGTCTCGTGCTGGGAGACGCGGCAACCCACGTCCGCAGTCCACCTCCGCGTGCCTTGACCCAATATGTTTCCATCTCCGGCGCAGGAGCGCGCGCTCCCGGTTTTGCGGCAGAATCGACCGCGGACAAAAACTCGATATTCCTACCATCTACGACAGGAATGCGAAGTAGTGCACATAAAGAAGCGCTTTCTGGGGATGTCGGGATAGGGAGAGTAAGGCGGTCATCCCTCTCCCGTGGCCATTCTGCACAAGCAAGCACAAGCTCATCATCCTCTCTACGTCCACTTCCACCTCCGACCCATCCAGAAGCTCTCCCGTTGTCACCACAAGAGTTGCTCCAACTCCAGACGAGCAACGAGACCGCGTCTACAAGTCCTCGAGAAGATCCCTACAAGTATCTCCGAGGTCTCCGAACGCACGCCGCGACGGCAAGTGCGTCGAGTACCATCTCAAAGGGTTCCCTCTCCGATACACCCATTCGACCCGTGCTCTCTCCTCGGCAGCCGCGCATATCCAAGAGTCGAGATGGACGTCTACAGCACGCCATGTCACCTACAACAGCGTCCTTTACAGCGTTTCCGCGTGGATTGGAAGAAGGACACGCGCGCACACCGTCCAATGCCTCTGGCTCGACGCATTCGTCACGTAGTTCAAACAAATACATCCCCTCTATCCAACTACCCTTATCCTTTCCCACTCTACGCCGATCGCCCAATCCAAACCTGCGGAGCCCTACATCCCCGACGCAGTCTATGCATTCCAAAGCGAGTTCCGAGGCGGCACCAATCGATTTTTATAGTCCCAGTCTCGCATCTATACCCGATCATCACGAAGAAGAACTTTTGATACCCACTTCGAGTAGTTTGGATGACCGTGGGCGCTCTCCCGGTGAGTATCTTCTTCGGTGGGGCCAATCATGTCGATAGTCCGGTGGCGAGTCATGTCGGCCCGGGATTCGTCGGTGTCCCCTGGGCCCTGTGGGACCATGTGGAAGACGCGGCTGACGTGGCTTGCTCACTAAGCAAGCTTCTATCTCCATCTTCGTCCGTTCTCGAGATATAAACTGACCTCCCTTGTCAGCGGTCGTCACTTCTTTTACGCCCGCGCGAGGACGCGCCATTCTCAGTAGTCGATTCCGTACGGCAGATACGCTTAGAAAGATTTTAGACACGAGTCCAAGTCCGCATCCGACTGCGACGACGCCGATTGATATCCAGACGCCGACGTCGAGCACGAGTGCGGCGAGTTATAACACGGCGAGAAAAAATACCGACGCCAGTTCGAAAACGATTCGCAAGTCTTCTTCACGCAAAATGCTCGATGCTTCAAGTGTGCCGTTGCCTGCCTCTCTCACCTATGAGCCACACACCCACATTGGTGGTCTAGGGTCGTCCTCCTCCATTTCCTCCACACATTCCAATTCGATATACAACGCCCGCACGCATTCTGCCATGTCCTCTTCGTCGGATCTACCGTCGAATGCATCCGCGGCATCGGATGTACCCCAGCTTTCTGCAGATAGGAAACGGTCTAGCGTAACGCTACGAAAACCTGCTCCGCGGTTCTTACCTCGTACACCTGCGGGTGGGTTGGCAGGGATTAGCGTAAGCGGCGCCACGGCGCATGCACCCGTGATGCACGCGCATCTAGTACAAGATCCAGAAGACGTACCCTTATCCGACCCAACTTCCCCTCTCCACGACCCATCGCTCAAAGCTGATCTATCTTCACCACGCATATCCGACTCGGGGAGCATGTCTCCGGGTCTGTATTCACCCCCGGAGAGGAGAAGGACGACGTCGCTTTCGGCGTCGGTGTCCTCTATTATTAGCCAGAAACGTGCTTTGGAGAATACAAAGTCGAATAAAGGTGGGAGTAGGCTCAAGGGGAGCCCTGCATGGCGGGCTGCGCGGAAATTGCCACTCGATGGACCATTACCTTCTCCAGTACCTTCGCCTTCTCCCAGTGTTCATGGTATACCGACTCTTCCGGTAAAAGAAGGTGAATGGAGTGCGGGTTCGTCGAGAAGGACGTCGTGGATTGGGACTAGTTTACTTGGTCTCAAGCTCCCTGGATCCACGTCGAGCTTGACTGCGAATGGGAGTGGTAGTGCGACAAGAGTTAGTTTGCCAAGGAGCCTGTACGGTATTCCGAGGAGAGGGAGAGTTGTACGTTTGATGAGCGAGAGGAAGAAGAGCATCACGAAGATGGTGAAGCCGACGCCGACGCCGACGGTGGAGAAGGAGGTTGACGATTCGACCTTCTGATTCGAGACTCCGACGGACGAAATCGTGGGACGGGTCGATACGTTCTGGCACATCTTCAAGAGGACGACGAGTGCCGAGTCGGAGTGGGCGTTCGAAGAAAAAGGAAGAGGAGAAGAAGGGCGGGTGGTTGGAGTGGTTTCTCGCTGCTGCTGCTGCATCGTCGACGACACCCGGTCCTGGTCCTGGTCCGTTTGGATCGATGGGACGAGAGGAAATGTTTGACCGGGGTCGGGATGAGTGGATGTAATTGTGTGTATAGATTGTGTTTTTTCTATTTGTATGTATTTTGCAATACTTGTAGACTGTCGACAGCAGAGTGCGACAGGCTCCCCGAATGGGCAATGATCATCTTCTCCTCGACCACTTTTTCCTCGAGCCCTCGTCCTTGTCGTTTAGAGCACTGGAATTCGTACTAGATGGCTCAGTCTCTTCCTCTTCCCCCCTTTGTTACTCTTCGACGTCGAGACCGACAATGCCGGTATGCAGTCAGTGGCTAGCAGTCCTCGCTTGCAAACTTGACGCCGCGTGCACTCGAAGACAATCTCAATAAACTAGTGCATCTTTTAAGAATGTACATTCTCGTTGATGTCGGTCCGAAATGGGCGGACAGGGTCGGATGCCCCCATCTTTCCAACGCGGGTGTCCTCCACCAGCCACGACACCGACCGCCACCAAACGCACATCACGACATGCTCTCGAATTCTCATCTCAGAATATCAGAGAAGCATGTCCACTTGTCTTCGTGGTTGTCTGCTATTCGACACGCAAGAAACATCGTACGATGTCTGTGGGCCGCGCCTGGGGATAGGGAGTGTGGCACTGTGGTGATCATAATACAGATATAGGTGAGTAGATACGGTAGAATTAATCATTTCCGTCTCACGCTTTTGTAGCAGAAGATACACGTGCTGCTCTACTGACTAGTGGCACTGTGGCGGGCAGCACTGTGACGACTCATCCGACCGCATCATTCGCCTCAACTACCTCTATAGACTGCAATAAATTCTCAATGACGTCGTCCTAGTCACCTCTTGTCCTGGGACCCTCGAACCTCTCGACTCTGCATACGGCAATCAATGACACCCATACTACTGCTATTCACCCTTCTCGGCATCATAGCCGCTTGTTGGTGTCCCCAAATGCGCAGATTGCTCCCAAATAGCCCCTCGTCGTCCGTCGCTCCAGGGCCGCCGTCAAGAACACGACCGACTTACCGTTCGTTTGGAACAGTAAAACCGTAGCCTTCTTTCCCTGGCACAGGTATTCAGCGGACGTCAAATCTCTTGCTCCGTCCGAGCCTGCTCATGATCTAGGTGTCAAGTGTTGGCACCATCACAAAGAAGAATACAATTCGACTACCAATCTCAGATGCCTTCAACTACAAGCAATGAGCAATGGGCGGTTATAGTTCACGACGGTGGTTGTGCGATGAACAATCATACCCTGGCAATATTCGTCGTACGTCTTATTTATTCATCTTCCACTACCTTGACAATCTAACTGCCCTGGTTTAAAGACATCCTAGATTATGCTAGTCACAATACCACTCTCGCTGCAGTCGTCGTCGATGCTACTTCGTAATCTCGATCTTACATCTTCAACGTGACGCTTCTCGATCAAGTACACGTCTCAAGCAGATCCAAAGTGTTGCCAACCCCACCACGTCATACTCCCTGGTACCAAGATGCTCTTTGGGTGCTACCGTCGTCGCCGCTGGCTCTGCTCTACTTGCGGTTTCAATCTACAAGGTATGCTCTCAATCGTCCCTTCTCCTCGAGCCCATCTATCCACACCACCCAAGCCCCTCGTTCTCGGTCGTGGGACGGATCATACATGGCGTCTTGCTGCAATTTCAGGCCGGCTGGCCGGTATTGAGCGCAGTACTCTCCCAACCTTCACCACGTGCCCTTATCGTCGTGATCGTAACAGCTGACCCCCATGTTTCATGTCCAGACCAGCCTATATCCGCGTGAACCGGAATCCTGCGAGGAGACTACCCTCGATATCAGACAACCCCCCTTTGCAAAAAATATTACCAAAATGGGAAATAACGCTACCACTATTTCTCCACCAGGGAGTCCGCCCATCGGTCCGGTCAATCTCGACAATCCACCTAAACAAAGGACTACGGCTTTGCCCATCTTCCATGTCTCGGCCACACCCTCATCCGGCCCACGTGGCAGGGGTGAATCAGATACCTGTCGCATCTCACTCGCAGTCTTCTCTAGTGAAGAGGCCTACAGGCGCTTCTTCTGAGCCTACTTCTTTCGACAACAGTGTCTTGGACCAGTACCTTGGGGCCACGGCTGGTTCCCGTGGGGGTAGGCCTCCATTGCCGCATTGCTCAGGGCGCGTCCTGTGGGCTCAACCATGGGTGCACTTGACAGGCCTCCTCCCTTTGTCGAGCATCTCAGACCTTGGTCGAAGAGACTAAACTAGAACGAGTCGGACACCCCCTTTCACTGAAAAGTACCCGGGGGCGTTTAGGGTGGATGTGTGCTGAGGCACATCTTTGGTGGAGGAATGGCAAGAAGTCTGATTACGTTTCATAGAGATGGTTATCACGGACCCGCTCGTCACCGCCGCGTCAACTCTTGGTACTTTCTGGTGCAGCACTTTTGCGCAGCCATAATTATGGCCGCCTCGATACCCATACACGGGCTCGAACATCCCGGTATTTCAAGGAAACTCAGACAATTCGCAGTCTGCCCGTTCGAGCGTTAGCACACCACACCTCGCCCATTCAATCCCATCGCCATCTAGTCACATCTTGCAGGCTCACAAGCCATACTTCTGACGGGAATTGTTCTGTCCGATCCTGTGTGAGACAATGCTGGTCCAGGCCACCCTGCTGGGGATAGCGTATGGATAGAAGGCTCATTCAGGGGGTCACTCCTCCACGATCAGAGGAGGAGAATAGGCGTACATAGTGGGAAGCTGTTCACCCCCACCAACCTGGTAATCCTTGGGCGTCGTACCGGATCTGACCACGCAGTAATGGCAACGGCCTTAAAAGGAGCACCGTCAGGCGGTCAGCCATCCTCGCCCTCTCTTCTCGCCCTTCTTCTCCCATCGATCTCACGATGCTCGAGTGGATCCTAGGCGCGACTCTTGTGCTCTTACTTCTGAGCCTTTGGCGCTTCAGACGTGCCGTCTCGGTACGTGGGCCTCTATTCGATCGTTTGGAGTGAAACTGACCACACTCCGCGTAGATGGTGTCCAATTTTCCAGGACTCCGACTGTTCGTCTCCCCCATGTCCCCGCCTGGCTTGCTCTTGCCCGCATTACCCTTTCCCCTGTTCACGTACCCGGGCTTCTCCTTTCCTTGGGAACTCAAACACGCGGGGCTATTTGCCAAGTTTAAATGCGACACCGTGTCTCTCTGCGCCGGCGATGGACGTGCAATGCTCTTCACAGCAGACGTGCCATTTATCCAGAGAATGTCCGCATTTACCTCGCGCGAGGTGTTCCCCAAGCCAGTGGACGAGTACAAGGTCCTGAGTTATCTCGGCAGCAACCTCGTGATTTGCGAAGGTGAATCATGGCGTCGGCAGCGCCGAATTGGTGCACCCGCGTTTTCCAAGGGCATGTTTGAGCGTCTTTGGCTTGATATGCGGGATATCGTTCGCGAGATGGTTGAACAAGAACGTTGGCAAGAGCGGACGGAACCGACCCACCCTCCCTCCACCCTCACCTATAACGGGTACACGCCTCAGCCCGGTGAAGTGTTGGTCCCACATGTCGTGGATCTCACTCTTCGTATGGCACTTGCGGCTATCGCACGTGCTGGATTCGGCATGGACTTTGAATGGGAGGCCGAGGAGAGCTTCACAAAGGTCTGCCAAGAATTTGGTAATCCCCAAAGACCCCATTGGTGGTTGACGATCCTCGGCTGGGTGTATAATTTTACGGACCCGCTCGTCGCGCCGGTGTATCATCTTTTCGACCAACTCTCCCGCGCTATCCCATCAGCTTTGATTGCTACGGTGGCGTATGTTTGGACGACATGGCCTCTCCTTCCCGTTCGAATCTCCTGGGCTGTGGCGGCCTATTGGGTCGCTGAATTCCTAACGATGTTTGCTCGACCCACCGAGGCGGATTGGAATCCTCGCAAGATTAAAGTTCACGAGGCACTTCACCTTGTCGCAAAGGACTCGACGTTGCGCATTGCCATTCCTCCGGTTCGTCTCGCTTTTCTCTGAGTGAAGAGATCGCTGACATTGTTTAGTGGATGATGAATTTACCTATTCGGCGCATGCGTCGTATGAAACTGGCATTTGGAACACTCGAGGCGGAGCTCAAGCGCCTTACGGACGAGCGCAAGATGTACCACCTTCGTCAATCGCTCGATCATGAACAACTCGTCAAGGGCCCGCTTCGCGGTGAGCGGTCAGACCTGCTGAATAATCTAGTCAAGGCGGCGATGATGGACGAAGGCGATCTCGAAAAGGGCCAAGTGGGCAACTTGGTCTCCAGCTCGATTCAAAAGGGGCTCACCGATGACGAGATTATTGGAAACACGTACATTTACTTCCTGTGAGTCCCTATTTACTATTCGAGACGATATCTTACGTCGTCTCTAGTGCTGGACACGAGACGACAGCGCACAGTCTTGCATGGACATTGGCGCTGTTAGCTGCATACCCAGAGTACCAAGAGGAGGCCATTCGCGAAATCTATAGTGTGTGGCCATCGACTGCAGAGACGTTTGAACCGTTCTATGAAAACACGACAATGGACGACTATGCCAAGTTCCCGTACATCCTTGCATGCTACGCCGAGACGTTGCGTCTCTTCCCTCCGGTTCAGATGATACCAAAGGTCGCGGCGCAGGATACATGCATCAGTGTCGAAACGAGCAACGAGGTCAACTCAAACGCCGAAAAGGAGACGGACCCACTGGTTGGTCGGAATGGACAGACCGAGTTTGTGATCAAGAAAGACACAATCGTGATGATTGACGCCCCTGGTGTTCGTGAGTACCAGTCCGCAGAGGCTCGCCTTGTGCTGATTCGTTAGACTACAATCCCCGCTATTGGGAGAATCCGGAGAAGTTTGACCCAGGACGTTTCATGCGTGCGTATAACAAGGATGCATTCATACCGTATGTACGGTTATTGTACACTATTCGCGGCTTTTAACCCATCAACAGATTCGGCGTCGGTCATCGTGCATGCTTGGGACGAAAGTTTTCCGAGGTCGAATCCGTCGCGATGCTCATCCATCTTTTGCGCAATTACTCTGTTCACCTCGTCCCGAACCGTCCAGACGGGACCGTCGACGTCGACGTGGCGAGACAAAAGTTTTCAAAGGCCAGCGTGCGCATCACCCTCACGCCCGCAGAGGTTCCCCTCATCTTCCGTCGCCGCTCGCATCCATCTCCTTGATCCCATCTCGTGGACCTTTGACATACCCTTGACTCTTACGTTGTTCCACTTTACGACACGCAGATACTGTTCTTTTATCACGGATGTACCAATACGGATTATATACAAGGCAACTACGAATCCTTTCCGATGCGTTAGTCGTCGTCGCTAAGAGCGCTTTCCTCGTCTTCGTCCTTTTTTGGCTTTTTTCCTTTCCCTTTTCCTTTCCCAGCTGGCTTCTCCTTCTTTTCCTTCTTTTCCTTCTTTGCAGGTTCTTTGGCATACTTTTTGACCTCGGCTTCGATCTCTGCTCTCATTGCGTCAAAGTCGAGTTCGTCTTCAGGGATAGAGGTATCCGCAATCCGTTGGAGGACTTCAATCTCCTTTGCCCAAACCTCTTCAAGAGGCGTCTCGAGGACCATGGGGATTCCTTTAAGGCGCTCATCGCGCATCATGAACCCAAAGGCTCTCAAGCCAATATGACCACTACCAAGATACTACGGTGAGAAAGAAGAACGCCTGTGACGGATTGCGTACATTCCAATGTTTTCATGCCTATCTTTTTTTGAGTTGAGTGGTGTCTTGGAGTCGTTGAGGTGAAGGCCGCGAAGGTATTGGAATCCGACACGCCTTCCAAACTCGTTCACTATGTACCTGGTTACGAACGCTTCCAGCAAATTATCTTATCTCACTCGTTTCACTAGATGCGTGAGCACTGGATCGGCAGGATGCTGGACAACGTACTCGTACACCTCTCTTGTCCGAATATCATAACCCTGGCGCGGTCAGAAAGAGGTCTCAAGAAGGAAGCGATCATACAGAAGCAAATAAATGACCTGAAAAGTGACGCTGAGTGATGCCATTAAAGAGAACAGGACTCACAAGTATCCAGGCAGATTCCAACTCGTGTCTTATCACGAACTTGGGCAATGATCTGAGCAAGCTGATCGAAATTGCAACCAAGCACATTTCCACTGCCCGCCTACTCGGATGAGCGGTCATAATCGACGATAGAATGCAATCTCACCATATTCTCGACCACAGTGACGACACTAGAGGTTGCTTCGTGAGCACGGTTCAAACTCTCTGCTACATGCGTTATGGATTCCTCGATGGTACATTCTCCAACAGTCGATCCCGGACTAGAAGAAGTCAGAGACAAGTAACAAATCGACAGGGAGCCACCCACTGGAAGTTGTAGAGCCCAATACCTAATTGCTCGCATCGCTGTAGATCGTCGAGGAAGCACTCGTATGATTTTTCGCGCTTCTCCCTGCAAGGCATGACAAAAGGACCAGTCAAGATGACGTACGTACTTGTCTGGGTTGCCAATGTTGACGAGGTAGCTACCATGTGGGAGAATATGCCCGTAGTCGTAACCGAATGTCGCCATACGCGCCTTAAAGGCCGTGATGGAGCTTGGTTCCAGCGGTTTAGATGCCCATTGCCTTTGATTCTTGAGGAACAGAGCGAATGAGTCCGCACTAAAGACCGTCAAAGAGGGATTCAACGAAAAACCTGCTTACCCAATCTTTGCTGCATTCGGAATGGCCTGCTGGATGCCACCAGCGGCGGAGATATGAGCTCCAATCTTCCATTCGCAGGTCGGTCGTGTTGGAAAGTCGGCAGGAGACGGTTCGACAAGAGCGGTTTTCTTTCTGGGCTTTTTGGCAACGGTTTTCGTCGTCGTTGTTTCCTCTACGAGTGTATTCTGACTTTCAATGGCAAGAGACGAGACTTCGTTTGCAACGAGCGTGACTTGACTCTCCTCGGCAACTTCTTCTGCCTTGTGTTTGCGCGCACGTTTATGTGGACGCGTCGGGAGGTCGTCTAAGAGTGGAGAAGAGGAGCGACGCGCTTTGAGAACGCTCGATGCGGCTTTGACGGTCGTGCTTCGAACGGCGCTGCTCATGGTTGGAGGTAAGTGGCGTCCTTTGTTGATCAACTTTGATTCGACGACAACCGCTATGCGACACTTTCTTCATAGAGAATTTACTAGATATTTGTATACGTACGAGGTCAACATAGTTCAACGTTTACACGCGACACAAGGGCCTCTCGCAAGATTTCGAAGAAACGGATGGATGAGGTAGAGCACTATGTTGATCTAGAAGAGGGTAGATACCGCCGTCTTGGTCGCGGTGGTGGGCAACTTGACGCAATGCCAGTACGCTATCATGGGTCAGCGTTTTGTTGGATCATACATGATCAACTGACAGGCATTCTCATGCTTGCAGTAGAACCCCGTTGGGCAGACGACCTCTGACCAGGGTCTGAGTTGTGCTCGTGAGCAGTCGACGAGCCTCGTCTTGGCCATGCTCACCCGCATATGATATTCACTGCGCTTACTGGGCTGGTGGTAATGGCCGCAAGAATAATAATGGGTGCTAGCAGCTTCATGATGATCTAAGAACTCTGGGGAAAGGATTGAAGGTCTTATGTAGGGAGTGCGGCTATATCATGGCAAGTTATTTCTCATCAACGAGGAATTCTCCCGTTGATGATCATAGTTGACTCGGTGTTATGTCTATTCAAAGGGCGGGCGGATGGCCGAGGACATCTTGCGATTCAATACAGAACTTGATCATCTATTCTGCCATTTACCAAGAGCAGTCTCAACCATCTCACCGCATCGGCGACGGGGTCTGAGTCGTCGTAGCTGGGGCCTTGACGCAACGCCAATACCCTGCATGAAGTTACCGATGTGTTCAATTACAGATAGGAGAGGTGCACTCACACTCATTCTCATGTTTGCAGTACATACCGGGAGGACAAACGACGGGTGCGCCAAAAGGAAATGGCCTGGAAAGATGCAGGTTAGAGAAATTCGCAACAGGTTCTGCTATCTCACTCACCCGCAGACGATATCTACAGGAGAGGCAGAAACGGCGAGGATGCTGAGAAGGACGGAGACAGTCAGGACTTTCATTTCGTGGAAGTGCTGGTCGACCAGGGGATCAGGCCACGGTATTATATAGCCGAGACGGAGATTTCATGGTAAGGCTATCCCTTCTTCTGTCCAGCAGTTCTCCCGTTGGCTGGGCCTGACCACACTTGGCCCGATAGCTCACATTCATGAACCGGCGACGTGACCGAGGATATTCAATAAGTAACTAGAATAAAAGAAGATATCATCTTCTATCCAAACTCATGTCATGCCAAGAGCCACGTCTCAAGAACTGACCCTATGTGCTTTTTGGCTTAGTCACCTATATATTGCTTCATCGGCTTCCTCTTTCAGACGAGTTTTCTACCTTCAAACTCGAATGGTAGTTATCCCCCAACCACATCCGCCAAATGCCTCTCGACATCCAACGAGTTCCCGAGGACATCCGAAATACAATATTTCAGCACGTAATTGACGATGAGGCGGCTTCTCTCTATTCAACCAACATGCGAGAGATCCGCATGCCCAAGGCGACGACCACGTTGGCACTCGTATGTCGCCAGTGGCAAAGACTCGTCTATGGAACACCCGCCCTTTGGGCCGTTCTTGTGGTGAACATCACAGAAAGACCTTGGGTTTTGGAAGCACGCTGTGCCCGGGTCGCAAGACAGGCGAAACAGGCTCCACTGGATGTACTCGTGTCCTGTGTGCACCCATCTGATCTCTACGATAACTATCAAGTTGATGCGGAGATCCCAAGGGAGATCACCGCGTTCAAGAATCTATTCACGTCTGACGTGATGATCCAAAGGCTTCGCGTGCACGTAAGCAACTACAAAGTTTACAAATCGTGGCAGGATGCAGGCATATTTGCCTCGAAAAGGATTCAGGATATCTCATACACATTCTTACGTCGATCCACCGATTTCGCTCCTTCTTTACCCCTCGATTCTGAACACCAAGCCCATTTCATGGTCAGCATGAGCCTAAAACGCTTGCACCTGGGGGACCTGGGACTCATACACTACTTGAATCGCGGCGAGCTCCCGCCTATGCCAAGTCTAGAGGTCCTGACGGTTGGTAGCCAGCAGGGCTACAACTGTAGTCCCGTCGTCCTGAACAGCATCCTCAAGCAATGTCCCAATCTCGTCAAGCTGGACTACTCGGCGTTGAGACTCACCAACGAGCGTACAACGTCCACCGAATTCATCCAGCTCCCCAAACTGACCGAATTGATCACCGTTGTGAGTGACACACACCTCGCACCTTTCAAGCATATGGAACTTTCTGTACCATCAATGACGAGTTTCACCGCTCTCGAGTGGAGAAACGATGGTATCGAGGCTGTCAGAGACCTATTCACTTTGAGTGAGAGGCTACAGACTATTGCGCTATATATTGACGACGCGAGCGACACTAAAAGCGCCCTTCGGGTCGCGCACATGCTGCGGAACCTAACTCTCTTCTGTCGGTCGACAAGTTGCGGGAGTCAACTCCTCATTCTTGCAACAACCGGCGGTCCAACTATATGGCCATACCTAGAGAGCATCAAACTCGATATGCCGTCCATATCTCCACGCACCTTTTCGCAACTCGTACGTGCCTATTTCCTTCCTTGGAAGGAGGGTAGAACGCAAAGCGGGAGGGTGCCTGTAAAGCTTTTGAGGCTACGGATTTCTGAAGAAATCTTTTCGAATAATCTTATGCAAGTCAAGATGACCACGGAGTGGAAGTCGGCGAAGGTGACGAGCTGCGCTGGAGGTAGGTACGAGTTGTATTGGCCAAATAGATGATAGAAATATGTAAGCGCAAAGCTAATATAGTATTTCACCTATCTATTCTACTTGTTGAAAGACCTTACCCATCCGGTCGCATCTTATGCGGAGCTTAGAAGGTTGGGAATAAATATGTAGATTCGGAGAAGAGTATCATAGACTACATCGCAGCGCAGCGAACAGACTTCATGAATGAGTCGTCATGTCTGATGGATTCGCACTAGTGGACGTAGATTCGAGAATTCAGCCAGAAGAGTGGGGTTTACCACCTCACTTTCAATGAAAAAGATATCTTTGAGCATCGGTGCTTCGACGCCTTTCAACAGAAACAGGCGGAGAACCCAATCAGGCGAGCTCGCTGTGACGGTTTGCAATCGTCGTAGCGCAAGGAGGTATTGAGGAGGCGGATACAAGCTTCGAAGGTTGCCGAGATTGAATTCTTCAAGGTGTGGACAGTGAGATAGGAGACAGGAGACGAGATGTCGTGGGACGTCCTTGTTGGTGGATGTAATATAGAGGCGTTTGACCGATGGCAGAAGTTTCGACGATGATCCATATGAGATGTTACAGGCCTCAAGCCCGCGCACGTGGAGCTCGACGAGACGAGGCATCATCCCAATTTGTCTTAAGAGAGCGTACTGCAGAGGTGCCGTCGACTGGGAAAGGTCGACGAAGAAACTCTCTACTGCCGCGAGCTGTGGCTGGCTCCTTTTGAATACGGAGGGATGACATAGTCTGCCACTCCAGCTCGCAATACAGGCAAATTGAAGGTGAAGATGGCGAATATGTTGGACTTGTGCGATGAGCGCCGTGACATCTTTCAAGCCAGATGCACATAACGAGCTATCGTGTATCGGACTATTGCGAAATTTGCCCGGGCAGCTGCCTTTGTGGTGGATGTTGAGCAGATAGAGCGAGATTGGAACGCTACATGCTCTTCGTTGTATACGCTCCGAGTCCCGAGATAGGCCCTCTCGGTCTCTCCGAAAGTCGAGAACAAGGTCGGCCCACAGCGATGGCGTCGAGTAGATGATCTCTTTCCAGCGCTGACAGACGAGTGCGAGGAGAATTGCTGCTTGAGATCGAATGGGGTCCGTGAAAGAAGAGGCGGTCTCGCATTCCCTCATCTCGGCGTCAATAACGACCTGGAAGACGGGAATCAAGATGTCGACGGGACACCTGTCGAAAGGGAATATGGAATCCATGGTGGGCAAAGCTTTGTGGATACAATGACCATTTATTGATTCGATGGTATAGTCACGTCTAGCGTTGCGGCCTTGATCGGCGACGAGTCAGTGGACATCGAGTCATACAGGCCCGTGCTTACCAAGTCTATAGGACCGGGTTTCTCAAGGCTGAGATCATTTGCCGAGTCTGTATGTTCACAAATGTAAAAGTTCTAAACGGCGGTTGTGGTTGGGACCAAGACGTGTGCACCACTCGGGCCCGCCGTCAAGTGCACGTCTTCAATCAGGCTGTGTCTACAGGTCAACACCGGTATCATTGCATAGAGGTAGGTACGAGAAACATTTTATGCACCAATGGTGAGACCGTAGCCGCTCGCGGTAGTACGGGTGATGGGTCCACCAGGAGGATCCGTGATCCTCGTGGGGGTTGAACTCGCCGAGTCTGTAGCACGAGTGACGGACGAGCTAGAAGAATCCGTGGAACGGGTGACGGAAGAGGTCGAGGAATCTGTAGGACGCGTGATAGAGGAGCTGGAGGCTGTAGTGCGCGTAACGGAAGAACTAGAGGACGAGCTAGAGCTAGGACGTGTAGTCGTTGTATCACTTGCACTCGTCCTGGTGATGGTCGAGTCACTACCCGTCGTCCTTGTGACAGTAGAATCTGAGCCCGAGGTACGGGTGACTGTAGAGTCGCTCCCGGTTGTACGAGTGACGGTTGAGCCATTGCCACCCGTCGAGCGTGTGATGGTCGAATCAGTACCTGTGATTCGGGTGATGGTGCTATCAGACCCTCCTGTCGTTCTCGTTACGCCAATCGTAGTGGATTCACCCGCGGTGATGCGAGTGATGCTGGTGACGGTCCAGGGCGTTGTCGGGACGCAGACAGAGAAGTCTGAGAAGCCATGAGTCCTCAGAATGCCATGATGGGTACAGGGGTAGACGTACATGCATTTACATAGTAGCACTCGTAGCCAATACCGCAGTCGGATGGACCTCCCCACCAATAGCCTCCGCCTAGACGAGGCCGATCAGAACAAGACAGTCGAGAAGACCATGCGACGTACAAAGAGTGTGCAAAGGCGCTGCAAGAGCTGCCGTGGTCAGGGCGGAGGCAGTGACAAGGAGAGTGGAGACCTTCATGGTTGGCAGAAGAGGGAGAGAGTTGACGAACTGCTGAGGATCGAGGAGCTGTGCAGAACGATGGGTTATATACGGATACTTCGTTCCACCCCGTGATTCGGGTCATGTCGAATGGCACCGTGGATTCTGCGTATGCGCTTTGGATAGACGTGACACTTTCCGCAAGGTATTGTGCTTCCAATGGCAAGGGTTCTGAGAAGCATATTTTCGTATGCGTGTCATTCAAATGACCCCATACAAGCGCACACCCGACGGGAACAGCGTCTTCTCCGTGGTTCTGCCGTCGTATACGCCGGTCGGAGTAGCTTGGGCACACAAGAGACGCGACGGATCATCAGTGCCTGAGCCATGATTCTTAAAACTCTACTCATAATTAGACAAATTGACACATTTGCGTTGGGTCGGCAATGTCCGTCCCTGACGTAGGACGCTGCCGGGCATGATTCGTGCGAGAATAGTTCCGAGTACCGCTGAACAAACGCCTATAGGCTGCTGTTGCGTCGTACCGGGCGGCCAGGCGGCCGCTGAGTGCCGGGGATGATGAGATTTCGCCAACTTGACGCCGATGAGAGTCTTCTAATGTCACTCATGTAGACGTATAAAAGTGGTGAATGTCAGTTTGACACGTTCCCGCGAGCTCTGGACCGGTAATTGCGCTCAAGAGGGACCTGTCATAGTCAAATGCGTCTGAGAGACACGGATAATTCTTTTTCGCATCAATATAGACAAATAGACTCGCATAATGGGATGTGAGATCGACAGACTGATGTTGGTGGGTCGGTTGGAGCTCGGAATGGACGCATGTCGATCAATGATGCATCACGGTACATTAAAACGCAACTTGTGGTGCGAATTTAGTATTCACAAGGGGGCCCATCCAGTCCTCTGAGGGCGAGTTTCAACTCCAAGGCCTTTAGGTCCTTTCCAGGTTCATATTGCACGGAATAGTATTTCCAATACATATGCAACGCTCTCGAAATCTATGTGGATTTTTGCTGGCACCGTGGGCATCCAAAGTGGGCGGTGGCTCTGGTCAAAGTTACTTCTCCAGTCTGCACCGTCGCGCCCTCGCTCGACGTCGGCGACGCCCAGGATGCCTACCATCGCACTTCCAGACGCGTTTGACACACTTGGTTTGCCAGAGGTACGTGATTCTCGCGATTTGAACTGATGCTTCAGATTGGCTGACTTCCTTTCCACTCGTTTCTTTCATAAACTGACCTTATTGTTTCTAAATCGTCATATTATCCACTCTAATTCTCATTCCATCTCGTCTCTCACAGTTTGCGACCTTTGAACAAGTCAAAGCTGCGTACAAGCGACTCGCTCTTCAATATCATCCAGACAAGAACACTTCTCCAGATGCTACAACCAAATTTCAAGATATAGGCGCTGCATACAACCGTCTCCAGCATCACTTTCAATCTGGCTCCAATTCATCTCCATGCTGCTCGTGCGGTCGAAACCACGACGAGGACCACGATTATGAAGACTATGAAGATGATCGCATGAATCTATTCTTTTTCTTGTACGTGGATTCGTCTTCTACGCTATTTTGCCACATGACTTTTGAGCTAGGTTCATGTTCCAAAGAGCTTTCTCTCAAAACGGACTCAGGACTAGACAAGAGACCGTGCGGCGAGAGGCCCTCGAGCGCGAGGCTGCCGAGCGTCGTGCACAACGTCAAGCTGAAGGGGCAGAGCGCGCACGCCTCGAACAAGTACGCAAGCAAGCGGTTGAAGAAGCGGAACGCAAAGCTGCAAACAAGCGCAAGGAGAAAAGAGCTCGAGCTGCAACGGATCGCGCCGAGAATGAACGAGCAAAGCAAGAGGTCGTGCTAGAGGGCAAGCGAAACACTCAACGCAAGCGCAACGAAGCATTTCGATTGGCACGCATGAATGATTCCAAAGGTGTCGAGGAGAAGATTTACGCCGAGCACGTCGACGCCGCGGGTGGCGAATGGCTTCCGGGTATGGATCGCGATCCCACTTTTGCTCAGCAGATCAAGGAGAATGAAATCCGCAAAGAGGAGACTCTCCTTCACATCTTTACTCGCCATGGAAACTTGCCTTATGTTCAGAGGCTCCTCGAGCATAGTACGTAACCATTCTTTGCGCTGGTCAGATTTTGACTTTACCTAGATGCCGAAGTGGAGGAGCGCGATGGTTGGAAGGAGCGCTTTTCATATTGCCATCCAACGCGGTTACATTCACATTGCAAACTTTTTCTTGGACAACCACCCTGAAGAGACAGTGAACATGCTCGTACCACCAAAAGACGCGCCGTCGCATTTCACACCGCTTCATCTCGCTATGGATTCCCTCTCAGTTTCGATGGTGCAACTCGTACTCGACAAATCTCTCTATAGCGACAGCGAGCTCAAGAGCGCGTGGGCATTTATCACCTCTCACAGCGGTCGGAACGGACCCGGGAAGGGTTACGCACTTGAGTACAACAGCCGCGAACATCCAATGTCGGGAGACGACATATTACATTGGATAAAGATTCGAGAGATCATTAGGGTGGAGGGGCGCTTTGACATTCCGGCAGTCCCTTTTGCGTCTCGTCCAGTGATCCCAATTTCGCCATCCACGGCTTCAGACGAGATCAAACAGACTACACTCGCAAATAAAGAAACAGATGACACAGATGGTGCTAAGTCGAGAAAAGGAGAGCAAACCACGAACCGACTTCGCTATCCCGCATCTTGGTCAAAACCGCCAGTCTCTTTCGATAATGATACAAGGGCTACCTCAGCCAGCCAATTGACGTTCGCGCCAAAGCCATTTGACCAGACGGAGGATGCTCAGACAATAGCTGAATTTTCGATTCCGGTTGGCGAACCCGCAGCCATCCGCATCCAAATCAAACCTCCAGCACCGGAGACGAATAAAAAGAGGCCAGAAGAAGCATATCCATCACCCGTGAGCACACTGCCGTCGCCGCTGAGTGGATATCCCGTAGAGTCGAGTGAAAACTCCTCGTTCAAGGCGTCAGAAGGAGGATTCATGTCGAGATATTATCGTCAAGCGACCGAATCTGCTTCTATGAGCGGTGGTAGAACCGCGCTGCCCGCAGGCTTTAGTGTAGATGGCCGTGCTAAACGAGGACGAAGACGCGGTCGCAAGGAGACTAAGATCGAACTTCCCTGAGTGAGTCTCATGCAACGTCTCTGGGCGATACCTCTTGAGTACGGGCTGGTCAGTGATAGCTTGCTTCGTAGATTTCGGTCACTTTCTTGTAGACTACAAACTGATGTCACTTTTCTTGATATTGACTGAGGCCCACACCACATCCCCGTGAATGGAGGCGCATTGCGATGGGGGCTCCATTTCAACGCCGGGACTTGGAGAGCCTTTGCGGTAAGACTCGGCTGAGTCTCACGATTCAGTGATAGATGCATTGGTACTGATTCCACTCGATATAATCATTAATCGACACCGCCTTGGACTTTTGTCCAAGAAGGACCACATTCAAAACGGGTAAAATCTATTTTAGTTGGGCGGGGAGGACTGAATGTCGGTATAGTGAGTAGTAGTGGGGCAATGAATGATAGCCGATTGTCGGGTGGTACCCAGAAAATAAGTTTATCGGAGAGATGCCCAACCGTCATCTGAAAGGGAAAATCTTTCCGGCTGGGACAGCGTGAATCTCGGTAATCTTGTAAAACTCTGGGATGCAGTCGGATCTGCGTGTCTCGACGAATCATTGTAACTGGCTGCCTCAATTCCTGGTAGCGTTTGTCAGCGGCCGAGACGTAAACCCTTCAGCGAGCATGCGGCATCTCGGAATGGCTTTCCTGACCTATCGGTAGGCACTCCCCATATTTGAATGGTATTATCGGATAAAGCTGAGACAATTCGCGATCCATCCAGCGAGAATCTGGTGGCTCTGACGTTGGCTCTATGCTTAGGTCCCCGGAATGACCGTCCGAGCAACCGCCAAGTCTCCTCATGCCATACTTCAATCGTCATATTCCGGGACACAGACAGGATCTGAGAGTCGTCTGATGAGCATATCACGCCCCTGGTTTCTTCCAGACTCTGTCGGATATGTCTGACCTAACAGCTGGCCAGTCTCCATATCCCATTGTCGAATCGTGCAGTCATCCGAGCTAGAAACAACCCGCAAGCCATTCGGTGAGAAGGAGACGGCCTTGACGTGGTGCGTATGCCCTAGAAGTGGCTCTCCCAACCACTGGCCGGTCTGTGCATTCCATAAACGAATCGTGCAATCATCGGAGCTAGAAACAGTTTACGAGCTGTCTGGCGAGAATGCGGTGGCATTGATGGAATCTGTATGTCCCCGAATCGGCTCTCCCACTGGGTCGACTGTGAACGCATCCCATATTCAAATTGTGTGGTCGCCCAAGCCCGAGACGACTTGCGAGCCTTCACGTAAGAATTTGACGGCATTGACGCGGCGCGTATGTCCTCGGAGGGGTTCCCAGATATCTGGCCAGTCTCTGCATCCCATAATCGAACTGTGTTATCATCCGAGCCTGAGCCAATTTGTGAGCCGTTTGGCGAGGAAACGACAGTGCTGACCCAGGTTGTGTGCCCACGAAGGGGCTCTTCTAAGGACTGATCACTCTCCGCATCCCATATTCTGATCTCACCGTACGAGCTCGAGATGAATCGCGAGCCGTCTGGCGAGAATGCAACAGCCTTGACGACGCTCGCGTGCGCTCGCAAGGCACTCGGTAGTCCACGATACGCCTCCCTCAGCCCCTGTGTCACCTTTAGAGTGTCCTTGTAAGTCGCTAAACCCTCAATGCGTAGAGGCGAGCTCGTGGATGCAAGAGGGAGGGCCGAAATGTAGATATGTGGTGCGCTGTGCTGAATGGGTACGGAAAATGCCATCATAAATCGTCGTATGCCAATTATTCGCTCCCTGCTTTATTCTTGTATCTATCATTTTTTTTGGGTTATAAGACGAGAATGCACTGGGTGAAGTACGCACAATATCTCGTGTCATAGCTCGAAGGCCAACTATAGCTCGCGGTACTCCTCCAATGAAGCTCAGAACCTCCATCCAAGATAGTACATATGGGTTTCGAATCAGCCGCTCAAAATTGTTTCTAAGCTTCTTTCCTCAATTGTTATTGCTTTGAGCCACATGAAATGGCCAATGTAGAGTAGTATATCGAACCTTCCTCTCGATGAAATTTGATATTCTGGCCTCTATCTCTGGGATCTACCTATTTCTGTAGAATGACGACTCGATTCCTCATATATTGAGCTTCAGTCCATTTTTTCGTGATTGGAGGGTGTTTAAGCACCATGAGGCACTTTGACCATGCGCACTGATGATATCGATATCGATTCTGCTCGGATCGTCTGCGGCTGGAGCGATACAAGAACATCGCAGGTACCCAACCAAAGTAAGGTGGCGAAACTGAATGACTTTTGTTGTTCTATCCTCAATGAGAACGCTTCACAGGTTTCGAAACAGCGCTCGGGAGCTGCTTTTTAGTCTATTATGCTTGAGAATATTGTCTAGATTATTGACGGTAAGAAATTCAAATGCAGCAAGTAGCAGTGCAAGCAAACGGCGCATAATGGTGTAGGACTCGGGGTCTATGCGCTCGGAAATGAGTCCGTGTACGTTACCTATGCCTCCATTTACTTTTTGACACGAATAAATCACTTTGTTACCCGACAAGTTGCTTTTAGAGGTGCGAGTATATCTAATGGCTCGGCTAGGTTTGCCATCCCATCAAGTGCGATGCTCGCCGTGTTTTGGACTTGATCTCCCTTTTAATGACGATCCTGCAGACATAGATGAGTTTTGTAACTGGGTCTTCGGATTGTTGGCTTTGGCTGAATTTCAGGATGCCATTTGTGAAGATGGGTAGGTCCAAAGCCAAGGCCAGGCTGGTCATACTTGGTTGAAAGATGGAACAAGACATCCTATCCAACCAATGGCAAGGCGTGTTACGAAAAATACTTTTGATTCAATCTTGGTCTCGACCTCGATCATCGGCTTCCTGGGATAATGTCGCAGGTGCCGACCATCGAGAGCAATATCCTCACATAAGGAGAGGAATATTATCATGATTTGTTTCTCTACCGTCCAAACTGTGCTCTCTGAGTGACTATGAACTTCCCATTGATCAAGTCTATGTTATACGCACAACAGTAGTACATCAAGATGAAGTGCTATTCTACACCTTAAATTCCTGAGAGCAAAGTACCTTGGAATGCCCTCCGTTCGACCGGCGCAACGACTTTCCGGGCAGAGATCGGCTTCTTCCGCTTCCTTTCATATTCTTCGTCATCCGAGTCGTCAAGCTCAATAACAGTCTTGTCTTGGAACCTAGGTGCGAGCCGAACGAGGTGAACAACGTCGCCCATCTCAATCCCCAGCTCGGCTATTGTTTGCTCCGCGGAATCATCTAGTAGTGTCCCTTTGTAGTATATACTTTGATCCTCAGTAGGAATGTGCTCTTTGCTGTAAATCTACCATGATACAGAATGTCAGCTGACGTTTTGTGATTCACTGTGCATCGAGTGAAAGAAAATAAATCCATACCTGGGACTTGAGCGAAAAAGAAGACATGAATGGAGAGATACTAAAGCATTTCAGAGAAATGTACCCGCCCTCGGGAGATCGAATCCGCCTGGTGCGTCGACTGCCGATATCGGATGGTGAAGGAAGGGCTCCATTGTGTTCCTTTATCGCCTTTTTCGTGATAAAATAGCTTGCTTCGGTCGGCTTTGGGTCGTCTTCGGAGAGCATTTGAACGAAGAGGTCGATTTCGGCAAAGTCGGATGCCCTGGAAATGTTCAATCATGAATGTTTGGCGTTCAACAATCCATCATTACTTTTGGACTAGGCATTCGTTGCAGATGGCCCAATCTATTGCACGAATTTCTTTCTCGGTGTCGCTTCCCTCCTTGAGGAAGCCTTGAATAGGTATGAACGGACCAGAGCCAGGATACCTGAGTAGGATCAACGTGATGTCTGCTGATCAAAGGAACAAGCCACATTGCCTCAATCTTTCGCCACTGTGTTTCCCAGAGCAGAGCGATAGAGTCCGTAACCTCCAGGTGATCATTCGGATCAAAAGCGAGCAAGCCGTGAGAGCAGAGGAAACTGGAATTGTCGATTGCCTGAGGTCGAGGGCGTCTTCTGGGATTCTTCGTCCAATCCACCCATTTGCGCACCCAAGATGCTGGAGCAATCGCATACTTCACCCCAAGAAGAACCTTGCGGTTTGTCAAGGGGTTGTGAACATCAAAGCTTTTCAGCTCGCGCTAAAGTTGACACGTTAGACATTGCCCAGGTATACTTTCATGACCTACACTCTCCGTTTGAGAGATAGTCGCAAGTTCTTCTGCGTCTATCGCTGCTTCCTCTGCTTGTAGGAGGCAGCCATCACAAGGGCGCGTATGCTTTGGTAGGGGTGTCCAGTCCGGAAACAAGCCTTGTAAAACATCGCGGGCCTGGAAATATCGGTCAGAGATCAAGTATCCTCTCACAGGAGACTGACTCCTCGAGTAATAAGTGTTCGCAATTGTGATCTTGGGATCAGGCCGTCGTGGTCACACATCACTTCCGAACGATACGGATCGGAGTCGGGGCTTGGATCGCTTTGGCCTGGAATATGCATCTTGGGTCGCTTGAGCCTCCAATCTAGTAGATGGTAAGGCTCGTCCGCCGCTGACCTCGCTGACCTTTTAACCATGACTTTGATATCCAGAATTGTTGATCGCTCTCATCGCCTAAATTCAGTTTCATCTGGCTTGCCAACTCGAAGTCGGACAGAGCCTCTGCATGCTCCTCCAAATACTTTCGTTCTACTAGTTTCAGCACCGAGATCACGGAAAAGCGGGAGATTTACCTGCGAACATGATCTTGGTACACTCAACACAAGGCATTGGTGTCTCAGGAGGGAACAAATCCTTCGCGAGCTCCACAAGTCGATTGTAAGCAGACTACGGTTTATCAGAGAGAGATGATCACCTCAGGAACATTCTTACCAGTTTAATAATCTTCATTTCTGTGATCTTCCTTGGGTCGATCCTGCCATGTTCACAGAGCCACGCGTAGGTAGCAGTTGGCGACGAAGTTGATGCTGCGCTGTATATTCAGCCTGCATAACACCTTGGAGGAGTATAGTACCTTGATTTGATCCATCATCTTCGTGCGCCCTTTCTGAGGGTGAGTCGCGCGCAAGCCAAGCCTTGAGTGATTCGCCATGAACGAGGGCTCGATCTTCCTGCAGGTGGATTGAAGCCCGGGCAGATAAGCGCGGAGAGGACTCACAGATTTGCTCGAGAGGTGCCAATCTTTGTATATACTTGACTTGGTGAGCCTTGCCTTCTCGAATCTTTCGCAGAGTTCCTGCGTTCTACCATGATTAGTGACCACTAAATACCAGAAACAACGTACTCCGCATCATACTCGGCCAGCTGTTTTTCCAAGGTAGCGTTCAACTCGTCGACCTTGGCGCGAACGGCCTCTGAAGGGTCTTCTTGGATATCCATCGAGACTTCGGTATCCCGACGTGCGTATATAAGACAGTAGCAGTCCTTGGACGTTATTTGAGCCAATCCTCTAGCTCTATCGTGAACAAGTTTCGGAACGGTGTTTGCTGTCGTACCTCTTCTCGACAACCTCTTCGTCAAGGATCATGACATCTCCGGGTGGTTGGAACGATGGCAGTTCGGTGACAATTTCATCGTTGAATTGGAACCATTTCGCCTCCCTGCGCGTATGAGAATTGGATGACGCGAAGGCGAGTAAACGTACTGTGAATGAAAGGCTTGTGCTTCATAGTGGCCGTGATATGCACTCGAACCTTTATGAAGGAGAACACCACGCAAGTCGTACATATCCTCGACCTCAGAGTCAACAGAATTCCATTGAGACATGTCGATCTCCGCAGGGTATCGTATCGGCGACTTGCTCTTCTTCCGAGAAAGTGTTTGCAAGTCGAAAACGAACCGCTGAACAGAGAAATGGAGAACCTTGGGATCATGAGCACGCAGAATTTGACGACCTGTATTAGTCGCATACCGGGGGCAGCTTGTGTAGCTCGGTATAACGCGTCGCATCACGCAGCTCGTTACATTGAGGGCACTTGTATCTTCCATGGTGTTAGGCGTCAACCAATCAGTGTGGAGACGGCAGACCGATTATCTCCGGAGAGGACTTCAGATTTCAAAGCGTCGGTGATGCCCTCTTCGAGAGTGGTACTATTCTTGGTGGGTGTCAATACGATCCATGAATTGGAGATGAAACCGAACCGCGAGGCTAATCTCTATTTCTGTGAACTGAGATCGTTGCGCAGACTTGTAGCCGCAGTGAGTGCATTGAGTTCCGCAGACCATGGTCCCTTCAAACTGAGAGGGTTATTTAAACGTCTAGGACTCGATTAGAGCATACGCACTCGGTCGCTAATGAGGGTTTTGAGAGACGGTGACTCCTGTTTCGCAAACTCGGATGAAAGATGGTTCAGAAATAGTTTCGAGAATCTACAGGATATGTCAGTACGTATTTTTTGCCAATATGTCGTACCGACTCTTGAGCATCCTGTTGTTCCGTATTATCGAGACGAAGACTTTCAACAAGAGGGCGAGGATTGAAAACGTTTAGAGAGCCCAAATTCAACGCAGCAAAGGTGACTTGTAGTTGGAATATGGGCGATTTCTACTGAGAATGAGAAGCTGCTTCACCATGGAGGACTATCACCTCACCTCCAAGTCTTGATCGGTTTCCGCAGACGGAGTACATCGAAAGACCCCAGCGCGAAAGTGAGTGTCTTGATTCCATACCTATTTTATTATATGAGAGGTGGATAGGAATAGCAATGAACGGAGACTGACCTGGAGGACCGAGTTGGCGTAGCATGTAGCGCCGAGATTCTGTTGCCTTTGAGCGCAAATCAGGATAATCATAGAGGGACACACTCTAAGTCCGACGGGACAACCCGGCTTGCGCTTGCGTGAGTGCGGATTGCCGCCACACTTTTTGGCTACGGCGTCATGAATAGCTTCGAGTGCTTTGGCTAAGAAGATGAGAAAATTGTGCAAAATTAAGTATGGTTACCCTACCTGGAGCCTCCCACGTCTCTTGGCCCAAAAAATTCAGGCAATACGGGTTTGTTTTACAGCGCCCTTTGACGCATTTCTGCACGATGACTTCATCTTCCGAATCTGATATGTCTATCACTTCCTTATCGTCGTGTGACGTTGACTTCATGGCCTGATCCACACTGTCCAGGAATTTGTTGGGACATGGGCTTCGCCACCCAAGTTGGCCAATTCCACAAGCAATTTCTGCATGGGCCAAGTTGATATCACCGATGTTGGTCACACGGGACATCCACTCTGTGTCTTTGGCGGCGCTAGAGGCCAGGCTCAGGTTCTGTTGAGCTCCATTAGGGCCCTTTGGACGCTTTTGAGGACTATAAGAGACTATTTGTGGCGAATCGTCTCTTTTGCGCTTTCCATTGGGCGTCTTGTAGGTCATGAGACTTGGCGGGTATCGTCGTTGGGAGCAAGTGTGCCACACACCACGACTTCCGACTTCCCAGCCTTGTCAACAATAGGAATCAAATATTCAATAGCTATCAATTCTACTGAAATCAGTCACATTTGCCATCGCATGAGGAGGCGACGAGATGTCGGAGCGAGGGTGCCATCATACCAAAGCTCTAAGATGCGAGAACAGTTATATACTCGGAGATGCAAACTCTATATGTACTGGCAGACTTAACTGCCGAGATTGGCTGCACCGGAGATTGTCCAACGACACGTTTCACGATGCCCAATATTTTTTTTGACAATTTTGTGCATATTCCAGACATGTGGCAAACTGTGCATCCCGTGGCGCCTTTCTTTTGGTCGGCAATCCAGAGTCAAACAAACTTGCGTCGGGAAATCGAAAATGTGGTCGTGGCCAAGTTCGAATGCCACGAGCGGTCAGGACATATGAGCAATGTAAGGACATGCCATGACTAGATTATGACCAGTAATGGCTGACTAGCACAGTCGTCGGGACTGCTCATGGCGAGGCGTCAGTCGGCCATGAGGCTGCCACGGCAATAGATGTATTTGTCACAACAGGTCATAGCATAGTATTGGTTTCGTTATGACATGGTCACAACGTGTCGTGACGTCCAGTGATATGCCGCGACGAGTTGTGATATTCAGTATGTACGCCATGATCGGTTGTGACACCTAATGACTTTGAAATGACAATTCATGGCGCTTAGTGACCATGTAATGACGGGTTATGACCTCTAGAGGGTATGCCATGATGTCTCAGGACAGGAGAATAAACGGGAGGCCAAACGAGTGTATTAAGAGCACTGAGTGATCTCTAGTAGCTCTCTATTCTATATTCTCGAAGTCTCAAGAACATGTCTGGATCCTGTAGGTCGTTTATGTAGCACATCTTGTTCTCCGGGGCCATTTGCTGAACAAACACCGATCGAACAAAGGAGGAGACTCGAACTATTTTGTATATATCCCCCATTGTGGCGTGGTAGAACCCAGTGTGGCGGTGACGACGATGAATTTGCAAGGGTCTGACAATAGCCAGCGGATAATGCATGTTGTCAACAATGACAGTGAAAAGACCAACTACTTGAACGCAAGAAAGCACGTTTGCGTACTTGTTAATTAGGCCAAAATCATATCTGGCGCCTTTCTTGCGCCAGTCAGAGTTGCTTCGCAGAATGTCGGTTTCGAGCTGCTTCGTCAGCATGGAGACATACTTGATCCTCACAAGTTTCGACACTTTGCCCTATATTTCATGAGTATGTTGACGGCAAATTGATTGACTGGTCATACTTCGAGGCCCGCAATGTCAGGAAGATGCTCTTGACGAGGAACTCTGACTCCATGAACTTGAAGCGAAGGGATTCCAAGATAGAGGTATTGACTCAGCTCCTGCTGGAGCTGTGTATAAAGTACATGCCACTCGACGGGTTGGAGTAGCGTCGAGAGGACGCCAAGCTGGCTGGCCAAGTTCTCAAGGCGACCAGTAGAACCAAGGCGAAAATTGGACACCTCGTTGGTTTCATTTGATTCGTCATCAGATTCATCCCTTGCTTGTTCTTCGACTCTCTCACGAATCTTGACAAGTGCCTCCCTTCGGAGAACACGATCCAGTAGCTAGATTAATTATATATCAGATGCAAATTCTCAAATATGTGATCACATACCTGTTGCTGAAAAGAGTCTGTTTGGTGGTTCGTGTTCTTATAATCCCCCTTTGAGATCCGGTGACATGCTTCACCAGTTCCAGTGTCGGTTACAGAGCTTGGCCCTTTTGCAATAATCGATGGAATTGCATGGCTGAATACCATGTGGTGCTTGGGTCGGCGTAAACTGACTTTCCAATTGATAGCCAGTGGCTAAATCTATGATAAATCGGAGTCGGTCTGAAGGTAATCTCTCACCTTCTCTCGTTCTGCGGCACTTTCCAGCACCTCTCTGAGTAGCTCCAATGTGGTCGAGGTGTGGATAGGAAAGTGAAGTATAAGCGAACGTTCGCCAAGTGTTCGGAATAGTTGGAGAATCTCGATTCGGTTTTCAATATCTCGAGGTAAAATCATGTCTAAGATGGGAACAATTAACTGATGGGCACATAGTTAAGTATCAGGGTTGGCGTCTCAATGTGGTACATACCTTCGAGATAGCACGGTGATCTGATCCAGATCGCCATTGTAGTGAGGTTATGCCTTGAGCAAAGTGTATCAAGTCAGGGTATTGAGGTGTTTTTTGGAATCTGCTACATTGAGCATAATAGCCAAAGAATTCCGGAAACTCACTGATAATTAAGAGCCGCCTTGAGTTTATCAGTGAGCTGGTTGAGTAGCTCTGGTAGCCATGTTCGTCCATATTCGCCTTGGCTCTCCCAGTGAAGGGTGTCAAGCCCAAAAGTTCTGCATCCCGGAAAGAAGGTATTTATGGCTGGAGCAAAACCACTCTGTCGATTATTTAACACAGAGGCTTGTGTAGATCATGAGCTGCTCACCTCGACCGCTCGAATACCATATGATTTTGTCGACGGCATGTCTGGGTCAAAGGAACTTGATGTTCCCACCTCATTCCTAACTGCCTTGACTTCACTCGCATGATCGCGAGGTGGACAGACAATGGTAGTTTGGGTGAACTCGTTGGTAGGCGTTGTCCCCATGGGACATGCTGCCGCACCATCAGAGATTATGCTTGCCATGCGACACCTGTAAATATATTTAAAGAGATATAGAGTCAGCGCCATGAAGGCTCACATCTCGGGGTAATCTCCAAGCCGGAGACCAATAATTGGCACCAGCTGCAGGTGGCTACCATTACCAGTCCTAAAAACTCCTCCAAAACGTGAGAGGTCGGAAAGTGGTTGCAGGATTACTCGAAAGCACTCGTGGAATACAAGATTCCGAAGATGAGCAATATCAGCTGCTCGAACGCCCTGGTTCGAGTGAACCTAGGTCAAGTCAATAATGCGTTTTATTCTGTTACAAGACGAACCTTGGGCAAGTATCCAAGTAATTTAGCGGAACCTGGACCAAATGAGCGACGCATACTGGTCGGTATGTTGGCAATCCAGAAATACACGGGCCACAAAGTGTTGGATCCAAAGTTGGTGAGCTGAGTTTCATCCATGTAGAGTGAAATAACGAGTGGGTGAGCTGAATTGCCCAGTTTTGCTGCAACTGCAGTCTAGAGAGACCAAATATTATTATATGTTAGAGTGAAGTTGTAGTGACTTGAATTCAAGTCAACTCACTTGGATTTCCCAGAAGTCGTCCCCATGTATATACTCCTCCCAGACTCTATCATTACCTCCACCATCGTCACGACATACATAGTGTCGCTCAGGCCGAAAGTTGAAAGCATCCTCAAGTAAGGGGTTAGAGACCAAGTCTCTGATTGCTTTGAGAATGTCACGGGTGTAGAACGAAAAGTCGAAAGACTTCCCCTTCATCTGAACCTCGATATGATGTCGTTTGAACTATAGTAGTATTATTTAGACAGATCTTATTTCAGATATCGACAAACCTGTTGGCCATCCAGCTGAATTGCTTGATCCCAGATTGCAAGTAACTCCTTGGCAGAGCGTACGGTTTGAGGTCCTTGCCCTTTTTGGCCTTTCCAGTTAAGCTTGAGCTGGGCATCCATCTGATCCAGTGATGCGTGGCCTTTCAGAAATAACTCGGCTTGCTCAAAGTCAAAGTACGTCTTGAAAGGCCAATAAGGGGGAAGTTTGACATCTTTTGTGATTCTCTCAGGCAGAGGACCTTCATTTGATGATGGGTGGATCTGAATCCACCGCTGTCCTGGTGGAAGAAGTGCAGGAGGTGGCTGTTTAGAGACGACTATTGGCAGGTCTTCCTGGTTGTCTAGAACTTGCAAATTCACTTGCTCTGCTCTATTCCTACTTCGAACTATCATGTCATGTGAGTTAGAGTCAATATCAGATGTGGAGGAATGGAGAACCGAACGCTCTTGGGACCAAAGGAGATAGCTACATACCACTGCCATGAGCTGTCGCCATTCCTTCCACCGGAACTGACATTTCCTCATCAGAATATGATGGCTCGTTTAGTGGGCCCCAATCCATAGTCTCCGCATGAAAGCCATCCTCCTGGCTGGCAATGACAAGACCAAGTACAGTGCTATTGTGTGCGAGACCATGCTGAGGTGCCGGATCTTTCAGAGAGACACAAAATTGGTTCAGATTGCGATGTTTTATCTCCGCTCCCTTAGCTAACCAGCCTAAATAGCCACAATTACTACACTTGAAGGAGTCTGAGTGGTCTCCGCGTCGTCTTTTAGCTGCAATCTTTTCATGGTCACGATGCGGCCGAAATTTCAAGGTGGACATTTGGAGCAAGGTGGCAAACGCGCCTTTCTCCCGACGACTTCCAATGCCTGTCGAGAAAGCAGGTCGTGGGGCTAGACATGGGTCTAAAACACCTTACAACCAGACTCATAAGGCTACATCATCGAATCCATATCGCCAAAACCCGCCAAACTCTGTCACCGGATCAGCCACCTCTGGCAGACAGGGGACGCCTCGCAGGCCCAATGCACCGCGTCTTCGTGATTCTATCACACAACCAGATCCCAGAAAGCTGCCTTCACCATCTCTGTCGCGCTCCCGCCCTCAGAGCCGCCTTGCCTTCGATGAACGTGAGAGTCTTTCACGCAGCAGAACACCTTCCCCAGCTCGTCAAGCATCAAGACATCTTACAGTGTTGGATCAAAACAGTCCAAGGCGTCGCGCAACCTCTGAGAACAATGATCGCATGGATCTACAAGACGTGTGTCATTCCTTTGCTCTTTCATCGAAACAAGTGCTGATTATACAAGGCTTGGAACAAGACGCAGCAGGTTTTACTTGAACGAGACGAAGAGATCGAAAACCTCCAAGAGCAATTGGCTTTTGCAGCGGGGCAGCAGAAATTGGTATGTACATCAATACTGCTTAGTTTAGTGACTAAATTCAGTAGAGATCTACGACAAAGAAATCCGGGGAAAGAAAAGAGGAGTCGAGCATTGCCGTTCTTGCTGGCAAGCTCTTTGCGGCGGGATATTGCATGTATCCGGATGTCAAGCTGGTCTTCCCAAGGGTTTCCGAAGGAGCCAATACAGACGACGAATTCATTGACAACTACGACATTGACAATACCAACGAACATGAGGTGGAGGGTGCCCCACCACTAGCTGACAACGACCTCCTTTCTGCAGCGGGTCGAGCGGCATACACAAAGGAAGCTTGCAATACTTTCAAGGCGGAGCATCCTGAGTTGATCGAAGGGTGGGGAACAACCGCATATCGTCGTGATGTGAGAGCTCTCTCTATATTCCATGACCCACATAGCACTGACTCTATTATAGTTCAAGAATGGTCTCAATAAGATCCGTCGAGACTTGCTCACCGGCATCTCCGAACACCCAGAGAAGGTATTTGACATTTCAGTAACTGATCAAGATTGGAATGGTAGAAACCGAGCCACTTCAAAGGAAGTCGAATCTTTCCTCACACAGAAGGCTCTTTTTCAGGGCGATGAAAGGGTCGACTCGCAAGATGCGGAAGTGCGCGCATTGACTCCTCTCTTCAGGCATCGCTCAATTCTCTGTGTACGTCACTTGCTTGCATTAATATCGCTGACCTTTTTTCCAGTTTCTGAGACGAATGTTTCTTGGGCCTTCTGCACTCCTATCTGGGAAGAAGAGTACGATGGCAAACAACTCCTTCAAGAAGAAATGGCGACTTGATTCTCTCTCGCTGCCATTCATTTCTTTCTCGGCCACTATGGTATGTATGGATCCAAAGATGCATCCCACTCACTATTCTACAGCTCTTCATCACGCTTCTCAATGGAGAACCAAATAAACCCAATGCTCGGATTCAAACATACTATTATACATCCTTGAAGGTGCTTTTTGGCATGGAGAGCAAGCATCAAGATATTGCGGCTTCCCTCATCTCCTATTACAACCGCGAGCTCGGTTTCACTGAACAAGAGGAGGAGGCATCCGATCCCATCCCTGGAGCCGAAAATATCCTCAATATGCTTTACTGGTAAAAGTTTGCTATCGCAAAAAACCTTGATGCTGATTTCATCACTTTTGTAGATATGGCTCGCCCCAATACTGCTTTGGCAAGTATGTTCTCACCAGATTGCTGTCTACTGACGATATTAATGCAGATTTTGACTCAGACGGCGGCCGCATTGTAAGTTGTTCTTGTACGCATTGTCACAACTGACACAATGACAGATAATGCCTGCCAATACCAACCTCAAACCTGTGTACGTATCTTGCTACTTGAACTCTCCAACACGACTCTAACCCCAACTGTTCCAGCGCGTTTGCGTCTACACTTGTTCGCTGCCTTTGACGTACGTACCCGCCTTACCGTCTTAGAATCCCCTAACGCAGATACTAGACGCATATTCTTGTTCACGTTCACGTAATACGTATGTGTCCTCTGTCTACAGCTCCATATCCTCCTGACAGCAATCTCGCTAGCTTGGCCTCCACCTGCATTCCATACCAGCTCGGCTCTTGCATCGCGTATGTTGTTGACACTCTTATTTTATTATACTCTGACCTCATGGACGTGTAGCTCGGCATTATCATACACAATCAGAACGTTGTGTAAGTCCTCCTGAACCGTGCTCGCATATCACGGCTAACTCGGCCTTTTAGATCGTATTATTTCCCCCCCGTCATCAACATACCTCGACGACGGTGCTCTCTCTCCCTCATTGTACTCTGTTTGTCATATCCCAGTCGTGTCGTGGTGCTTGTATGGCACTCGGTACTTGAATTCATTGTATTAACACGATTATTGGTACTGGGGCGCGAGGGTGACCAAAACAGAATGACGGGTAGATGATCACGACGGTCAGATCAGGTCATGTCTCGTCTTGAGTGTCATGACAAGCACTTGATGGTCGTGGCAAACTGAACTAAGGCTATGACATGTCATGGCAGCTATACACCTTGTCAGGACTCGTCACAACAAGTGCGTGGATTGTCATGAGGTGCCGGGACGGAGGTATAGGTTGGCCACGACGGCGTCATGGCAATACCCTCAAAGCTAGGACGCAGTCATGACTTGGGTCTGGTAGTCACGACGGCATCACGGTCATGACTAGCCCTGACCTGCCACCACATTTTCCCGACGTTGGCCCCGAACCCCGACTGTCCGCTGCAAGGACATTGTCAAAGCACAACGCACACAACATCAGGAATATTCACATCTACTCAATCCACACTATTTAATGTCCCGGCCGCGTGCGACTGGGTAAGTTTCATCCTGCATTCTCCATGTTGGCATGCCTTCTGCGCGTTTGCATACGTTAATCCCAGCTATTCTCGCCATTAAACTTCTCTGGGAGGTGTATACTAATCACCTACGCCCTTTACGCGTTGGCAGACGCGCTTCACACATCACACTTTGCGGGCGTTTGTGGCCAAAGGTCATACATTTCACCCAGAAAGATGCTAGGAGGCACATAGTCTCCTCTATTATCACGTCCCGCTCCCTTTTACAGAGTTCGGTGTTCTATCCGTTCCGACAAGCTGTTGTGGCAGACGCCTCATAGCGTATATGGCATATACAAACTGTCCTCTATTGTGCTCTATTGATTCCTTCCTCATACATCTTTCCGCAACCACACTCGTCATAATAGGCGTCTTGCCACTGCCATCACAAACTGCCTTCTCTTTCTTCCTTTAACTGATCGCATCGCCCTCTTTGTCCGGTTTTTGCAATGCCTCGGCTCTCCTTCCACTCTAATCGCTCGAAACTGACAATTTCACAGCAAAGCGCCGTCGCGGAAACACACGCAGCTCAATATCTCCCCGCCTCGAGCCCAACCGTCTACCAGCGAAATCACACAACGCTTGCGAGAACAACGTGCTACGACTCGTCCTGGAGCAGCCACATCCACACAAGCTCGTGCTGGGCATGGCACGACCGCGGCAGAAAGATCGGCTGAAAGTCTAAAATGGTTGGGCATGGTTGATCAAGACACTTCCGGTAAGTCGTTTTTGGGAGCTAAGGATAATGCCGACCCTCTATATCAGGTTCGATGTCGGGTGGCACCCAAAATCGTGAAATCAGTGGGCAGATTCCAGAACCCGTTCCTGCTAGTCAACAACTCAGTGCCGGTGGGATCCCAGCCAGCTTCGACGGGATGAGCGGCATAGGAGGGCAGGCCAGTATGAGGTTAGTTACACGAATCGCTTACAACAATATACTGACGTCTCTTCAGTGGTGGCTCTCAGTTTGAAGACTCGCAACTCGATGAATCACAGTTTGAAGAATCCCTTCCTCCCCCCAAGCTGTCCGCTTGGTCCCAACTCGACCGTGTCGATTTCGAGGCTTCGTACGATCCAGCTCCTCAAGCACACGAAGATATCATCTATAACCGCTCGGGTAACCCCGTCAGTCGAAAGGACGGCAGCTCTCTCCTCCTACCTCCCGTCGAGCCACCAACCCGCTCCAAGTCACCTCAGGCAAAACTCGTGGCCACAGGTGGTCCATCTCCTCGAAAAGCTCCCAAGCAGAGTACAATTTTCTCTGCAACCAAGCCAACAACTTCTGCTGCAGCTCGTCAGCCTGGCGACTACGATCCTGCCGACGACAGAATCCGATTTGACGCCCCCATTCCCCTCACCCCTGGAGCGCATCAATCCGGGACAACTGGACCGCGACTCATCTTACCTAAAGGTGTTCGTCCTCGCGCACCATCACCAATCTACATCTCGGACGAAGAATCACCCGAGGGCGATGCGTCCGCTTTATCTGCGGCACCCCTTCCTGTCGATAGCGGTTTGCAACCAGACTCCCAACTCGTTTCTGTAGCAGCCGACATGTTCGCCTCTCTTCGGAATCGCCTTTCCCCCGTCCCCAGCGCTGCAGCATATAGCCAATCAATGCCACCACCCCCACCACCGCTTCTCCTACAATCAACTGGACCTGTTTTGGGAGCGACAAGCGAGAATCCCCTCATCCTTTCGTCTCCTTCGCAACCCTCTGACGCTGGCTCTCAGGCAGATGAGGAAGATGCCTCGCTGACGAGTCCAGAGGAGAGGAAGGAGGTCAAGGATTATCACCATGCTGGGTATTATGTCACGCCTGGGACGGGTCTTACGCCGCCGAGGGAGGATACACCACTCGTACCTGCTGCTCCAGATACCGAACCACCGGTGCGCGATCTCCGAATTCCCGATGCCAAAATCAAATCCAAAAGCAAACTACGTCGCTCAGTTTCGGCCCGTGCCTCCGGAATGCTATCTCCACGCGGCTTCAGCCTTTTGGACGATGATGACGCACCACGACCGACACACCGTTGGGAATCATTAAGTCCCCTCGACGAACAAGAATCGATATCAGTCCGAAATCATTTGCTCGATGAGAGATCATCTTCGAGACCTCGCGAATTGCAGGTGCAAGATACACCTCGGCACCGCATCTCACAGAGAGGAATGGCTCTCGCGTCACAAGCGAGCCTGCCGTCGGAGGATGAGCTTCTCGGTGAACGGGATCGTACCACTCTGGAAGATAGCATGAGGAAGCGATTCCCGCCTAATCAGCAGGCGCTCAACAGAGACCTCTCGAACGTTTCGTCGGTGATGGCAGATGGTGAGTAATATAGTGTTATCGGGTTGTCCCATTATAACATTCTTCAAGACGGATTAAGACGCGTGGACACAATGATCTCACTCGACCCGCGACAATCCAACAACGATGCTCTTCCGACGAGTGCATTGCAAACTGGTGATAGTCTGGGATATAGCAATAGCGTCCTTCGCTCTCAGGCCTACAACGCACGAATTGCAATCGAGAATGCAGAGCAAGAAGCTCGCAGGGTCGAAGAAGCGAGAGAACAGGTCCCAGAAGTCTCACCTACGAAGAGTCGGGTGCAAGCATCTTTGAGAAAAGCTGGCCCGTCGCAAGAGAGCGTCAAACGCCGAGTACCGATGGGATCTCCTTCCAAATACAAAGAAACACTTGGTCAAGGCCGGCAGTCACCTCGCCAGTCTACCCACGTTTGGACCGAAGGACCATTGACCCCTACCCTAGGCCGAGCTGCGGCCCAAAAAAAGGCAGCCGGGCAAAGTGGATCAGCACACGACACTTCTTCGTCTAGCTCCAATACGTTTGGGAAGAAGGTTTTCGTCGGTGGAACGCCTTCTCAATCCCTCTCGGACCCCTCTCAACAGTCGGACCTCTCCCAGCGTGCAAATGAGTCATCAATTGTGGTTGCTCCAGCCGAAGAAGACCCCCATGGAAATCTCATCCCTGTATCACTTCGAGCTGTTCAAGCGGATATTACGCAACGTTCAGAGGTCGACGTGGACCAGGTGATTCCAGAGACGCAATTTAGTCAAGATGTGGTCGCCACGACTTCACATCCGCGGTCTCCCGTCATTCTCTACTCACGAAAGGACAAGGACGAGCAACCGGTGCCAACACAAGAGTCACAGTCTCAGCCCACCGTCAAAGGACAGGAACCTCGCGTGCTTGTGCCAGCTAGCGCACCTGGGGCCAGCGCTCCAGCGGTAGACGATCGTGGTACCCACAGCGACTTGTCGAGAAATACCTCCATCGTCGTTCCCGGATCGCAAACCGATGAGAGCCAGCCCGGAGTTGTGAAAGAAGGAAAGGAGAAGGCCGCTCGGGAAGGAGAGGTCGGACGAGGAGAAAACAAGTCTGCTGATGGTCAAGACCCGGAAGCTCCAAATGTCCAGTCTACGTCTAACGAAAAACAAAGCGGTAGTAAAGAGACCGGCTCTTATGAGTTTTCGGATCCAAAAGCTACTGCTCAACCGGGGCCACCACCTAAACCAGCACCGTCTTCGCCTAAGAAGCGGACACGAGACGATGATCAGCAGGGCGCCGGCGATAAACGAGGGGCCAAGCGTGCAAAGGTTGATCGCGCTCGTAGCAAAACTCCTGCAGTACAAAAGGGACCGACGAGTGGCAAATCAAAACCCCTGCAGACACTCCCTCCGCCTCCTCCACGTCCGGATACTGCAGAGAAGCCCCGCCAGAAGAGTGTTGCGCCCACTAAAGAGCCGGTAACTCCAATTCAACGTGCTCGTCCAACCGACGACTACATCTCTCCTTCTGGTATTCTTGACTTTTCGTCGTCGCTTACCCCTCTTCCCGACACGAGCGCAGGTCGGGAGCCACAAAGTCTAGAGATTTCGCCGGCGAAACCAAAGGAAAAGTCACCAAAGAAAGGAACGTGGAAGACGTATCGTCATGGCCGAACGCTCGTGACGGAATTCGTTGCGTCGGCAAGCGAGAACCAGGATGGAGCCTCTGGTGCCGATCCTGACAATCCGGCCACGCAAGATCCATTCAAATCACTCGCGAAGACCACAAAAGAGGTTGTGGAAAAGCCTCTGGCCAAGGAGTTTGATCGTACTCCATCCCCCGAACCCGTGAAGCGTTCCGAACCAATGGCGACTCGACGAGTAACCCGTAGTCAATCGCAAGCCAAAGCGTGAGTCGTGAACTTGACCCATGATCTATGCTCAATGTTATTCTTAGTGAGAGTCAACCAACCAGGCCACTCCCAAAGGGCCGCAAACGGTCTATTCATCAGTCCTCAAGCTGATGAGCGCATTGGAACGCAGACTTCTACAATACCCCCTACCAGCCAAACGTGCGCGCAAGGGTGCTGGGCCCATTCTTCCGACAATTGCGGCATCTCCTGAAGCCTCTCCCAAACGCACGACCGTTCAGCACCTTCAACCTACGGGTCGCCTCGATGTGGCTTGCCAGTCCGGTGGTCGTGTTTTCGCACCTCTGAAGAAGATGTATATGACAGCCACTGTTGTCGAGTATCAGCAAAAGGCGGAACGTGTGAAGTTCAAAGGCAAAGGGAAAGCTAAGGCGACGTCATTTATCAACTGCAAAGTCAAGTTTGACGATGGGACATGGGAGGAGATACCCTTGACGGAACTTCGTCGATGCGAGCTACGAGAGGGAGACGAGTTGCGCATCCCCGGCAAAAGGGGTGCCAAGCTGGCGCGTACAGGTCATGTTTCTGCTGTTCCTTCCTGGATCCAGCGAAATACCGTCAGCGTGCGCACGACCTCCAAGCCTAAAGAGGAAGTGACAGTAGTTCAGGGAAAGGATATCGGAGTGCCCCTCGAGGTCATTGAGCGAGACTGGGACGACCGACGGGTGCCAACTGTCGAGGATATTGGCCTTGGAGAAGAGTTGATACGAGCACAGGAGGAAGAACGAGCAGCAGAAGAAGCAAAGGGAAAGGGAAAGAAACCTAAATCAATGACACTCGGACCGCCAAAATGGAAGGACTCACCTCCACCACCAGCATTTCGTGAGCGTTCAATATCGCCACCTCTTGTGCGAAAGCGCACGACACCGGCAACGGGACGCTCAAAGAAAGCCACAGCATCATCTTCGGCTCGTCGTGTGTCGATCGCACCCTCGGCTTCAGCACCCCAGCACGATGCGCGACTTGCAGGCTTTGCTTTCATCTTCGCTCTCGCATTTCGCGACGCTGATGGAAACAAGATTTCCGATGCGGCCCGTGAAAAGAAAAAGAACGGGCTTGTTCGAATCATCACGCGGCATGGTGGACGAGTCGTCGATGACGGATTTGATTCCCTTTTCAATTGGGTGGGCAGACAAGCGACGATGGCGCTAGATGGATCTGGAACAAGGGCGACATGTTCTTTCCTGATGATTCAAAAGCAGCGAAACGTAAGGTTCCACACTCGTCGACCTCGAGCGTCGCAGAGACGAAAGTCGAACGATATATGCTCCTGGCAGACGGCGTGAACCGAAACCAGAAGTACATGCTCGCGCTAGCTATGGGCATCCCATGCGTAAATACGCGATGGATCGAGGACGAGGCAATGAATTCGTGGAGAATGCATGTGCTTCCAGCCGGGACGTATACCAAGTTGGGGTTGATATGCGCGCAATGGATTGATGGAAATTATGTCGATCATCCACGGTCATTGCGCGACATGCATGAGAATCCTGGCACACTCTCTCGGCCATTCAAGGACAAGTCCCTTCTCTTCGTATACCCTTCAAAGGCCAAAACGATGTGAGAGCGGTGTTTCGAGATATTTTCGTGCTTACTGATGAGGGATTATAGATTGAAGAGGACAAGTTTGCGACGACCTATGTCTTTCCGACGCTTGCGTGTTTGATGGGAGCATCACGCGTCGAAATCGTGCATTCCCTCAAGTCTGCGTCACTCACACCTGCCGAGTACGGCATCATAGTGTATGAAGAGGACGTGGCGGTTCCGGAGAGTTTATCCAAGGGCTTGGCTAAGGCGGATGCAGAGACGGTGGTGGGTACGATGACTTGGGTGAGCGACTGTCTCATCTCTGGCGAGTTGTTGGCTCTATGAACGATATATTTCTGAATATACACTGCGCTCCAACTATATATTCTATTTCGGTCTATATACGTGTTCCTCTCTAATTCGCTCTGCCAAGCTCGAGTCAGCCGGTGAGGGAATGAGACCGAGCGCCCTTAGTCAGTTTACGGGATATAAACAGTTTAGTGAACCACGAAGAGGCCTTCATCCTAATCAAAATGACGGATAAGCCGACCTTCAAAACTCTGTGGCTGGAGTATCTCGACGCGTTTAATCGACACTCCCTCGACGACGTCTTTTCCTATCTATCGCCCAATATCACGCTCGTGATTCGCGGAAAGACTTTACCCCAGGATGACCGTGCAGCTACAGAGAAGAGATACCTGGAACATTGGGGCCTCCCAGATGCACGTATTAGCGTTATTGGAGACATAGAAGAGGTTGAGGGTGGGATCAACGTTGTATTGGTGGACCATGCGCGGAGAAAGAAGATGCGCGTATATTACGTATATGCGTTTGAAGGGGACAAGTGGGTACACATTCGACATGAGATTGAGGACATCGTCGATTGGGATGGAGATTAAACGTGCGTATTCGCGAAACACTCGGATTCATTCTGAGATACGGCTCCAGGTGGCAGGCAGCTGGGTCGCATTTCCATCCGCGGCTGGGCCCAGCACCCACTCCTGCAATGGTCTCTCGAGTGTGTGTTACCTTTTTTAGTGAACCTCTTGTTGATACAACGCTCAAATCTTTGCCTCGAACGTTTAAATACCTCCCTAACCGAATCTTATGCTTAATCAAAGCTGTGATAAAATACAGAAGAGAGATCTTCACGACAATGAGTATATAGTCTTCAGTAGAGTGGCGTGTCATACCTATGAGTGGCGTGTCATACCTATGAGTGGCGTGTCATACCTATCATCTTTGGTTCTGGTGTCATTGCGACCATTGTCACTACACTATGAGATGTGACAAGAGTTACTCTCTATGCAGATGCAGGATGTCCACGCTCATAACTGGTCGGTTTGCATAATCCACACTCCTGGGACAATAATGGACATCAGCTTATGCTTTGGGACAACGTATGCACACGTTACGAATCTGTGATAGAAAGCCACAGTTTCCGCTGAGCCCGTCCTGAATGTGAGCAGCTGGACGTTGACTGGGCGAGCAACTGTTTTCAGATAGAGAGTGTTACAAATACTGCCCCATGGTGCATCACAACTCGAAGCTGTGGACATTTTCCTCCACTTTGAATTCTTGATTGCGAAGAATCGAATTTCTTGAGGCAGGGCGATGGTCACCTTATGCATGAGCCCCTGGACGAATCTTGTATCAGTAAGAGGTTATCGTGAGTCCACAGACTCGGGGCGTCGCCTCTCGAGGCTGCCCATACTGTGGAGACAGTCTTCTCATAAGGGGTTCTCTGAATTGAGAGTGAAACGGCTAATTACAGTGCTCAGGTTCTTACTGAGCCGCCAGTCATTTCCGGTGGTTAAGGTCCTGCTAAACGCGACCAGTACTGTCCACTCGGCCTGATAACGTACGGAAGAAGCCACATTTACATAAGAGGGCGTCAAATTCAGAACCTTAAGAATCAGAAAATGCGAACACCTCTCAACTCGAAGAAAGATTTATCCTTCTCGAAGTGGTCACGTCCTTTTCGATTGCTTCGAACGAGGCTGCGTGGCGCATGACAGGAGCCCGCTGTCTCCGCCGTCAGGCTAGCCTTGATAGCCAGCTTTTACACGCCTAACGACCACAGGTAGCCAATTTTGCTAATGTATAAGCGCGCCACCTGATGAGGGTCCAGTTTGACAGCTTCCATTACAATAGATTCACCGTCTTCTCGCTGAATTTCACTTGTGAGTGAAAAGTCACGCTCTGAAAAGAACACTCACCTAAGGACCGTTTCTGTCTTGCTTTGATGAAGTGCGCTTGGCATTGCACAAGGTTCGAGCTTGTTTTCGCTCCTGTTTTACGTCCGGCGGCGGCGGAAAATGCGCCGTAGACGGCTAGACTCTTACACACGTTTACTCTACATCTTGTGATCCACCTCCTCGAGCAGCTGACCTCCTCCCGCACGGGACTCGTTTAGTCTATCCCGGAACGGATTCAGAACTAAAGTGAAAACAATGATGATGAAACGACCCAGGTGTACTGACAAAATAGCGGGGACGAATGAGGTGTAATGTCCATGGATTCGGTACACGTAACAGACAAGATTGTTCAAACAACGGGTTTTAGCAGAGTGGAAATGCGCATGGAGATGATGTACAATATCGATTTCAATCAAGATTTGCACGGCGAAGACGGGAAGGGCATGCGCTAAAAGGAATCGAGACATGGATGGAGGGGTTGATGGGGGTTGCAGAACAATGCACGACGTACGAGTCGCCGGAAGTCTATAGAAAGCTGTAGAATTTACACAAAAGTTGGCTTTTGTTTTTGTCGAATGGAGATATGAGATTTCTTGAGGCCCAGATAAATTTGTCTATGGTTCGCGAGTAGATTTGAGGGTGGAAGGTGACGCCTCAGTGGACGTAGGCATAGTACCCGACATGCCCTCCGCCGTTTGGCGTCGTCATGTACTGTAGCGGAGTAGATTGACTAGTCCTGTGAATTGGTCAGGCCATGTGATCGATGCCTCAGGATACTCACAACGGATGACTTCCATATATGTTTTCGTACGTCGCCCCTCTCCCACCGAGCAAAGGCGAGAATGTTACGGCTTGCATGCCACTTCCATTGGATGATCCAGCTCCACCGAGCATCATCCCACTAGACCCTTGATCCTCGGGACTATCCTCGTCACCGTCAACGTCTTCCATCCCTTCCCGTGGCGATCCAATGAGGCCCTCAGGAACTGGCATCTTGGCCTTCCAGCCTCCAATCGCCTTGGATACTTGAATCGTAAAGTGTCCACGTACGACGACCGGCTCCGGATCGTTATCGTCCTGGAACGTTGCTTCGACCGTGATAGGATACATCCCTGGATGCGTTGGAGTGCCCTTGAGTTTCGAGCCTTGGAGTGAGAGCCACTTTGGCATCAGGATCGAAGACGGCGATCCGGTGGGTGACGTTGGTGAGGTCGCAGTTGACTCCTGAGGACTTGTGCCACTTGTCGCTGTAGCCGGGCTTGCTACAAAGTGCCAACTGACCTTCTTCCGAGGCGTCCAATGGTCGTGCACCTTCATGTTCCATTGCCACGCTGTGCCCACGATGGCGAGGGGTGGTTGGCCGACGATGCATCGCTCATACGGCAAAAATTCCCACAAAAGTGGGTCTGATGCCATCATGAGCCCATCATCGACTTGCTGCTGCTGCTGCTGCTGCTGCTGTTGTTGTTGCTGCATCTGCTGTGGTGATATTCCGACCTGATGATGCATCGAGGGTTGGGAAAACGCCGAGGGTGGGTGTCCAGCTGTATTGGCAACTATGTTCTGACCCGCTCCAACGGCCACATCCATCCCTGAGATGTCTGTCTTGCACCGAGCTCGCACGCGCCAAATAGTCTGACCCTGCGATTTCATGCGGTTCCCAGACTCGTTGAAGCGTGAGAATAGCTTCGAGTTGTTGAGATAGTGCGGGATCTTCATCGTCACGTCTTGAGACATGCCGCGGGCCGTCAACTAGACACGTTGCAAACGTGAAACGCCACACAATTGGCACCATTGGCAGAACGTGCGATAATATGCATTGTCAGCTCAGATGATATCGGGCAAGGGTGGATAAATGAATAACGCACCAGATCAACGAATCCATTCACAAAGGCTTCGATTCGGAACTTCAAGGGCCGCCAGCCGTATAATTGCTCGTATCGTTGAATCCTGCGGGCGGTGTACATTTGATGAATCTGGTGACCCATGCGATCCTTTGCGTTGGCTGCGAAAATTGTCAGCCCGGTGACGCGGAAATGACGAAATAAGAAATAGTAATCAGAATCGGAAATGTGGGAGACGGAGTGGTTCCATGAACAGACGGTTTGAGGACGATAGGCAACAGTGATGACGAAGATACGGTACGGCTCAGGGCCGTGGCGCACCGCTATTTGGACGTAGATCCGATGCCCGTCCGAGAAACGTTATCGCGCCATTCATCGTTATCAGGAGAAGGCCTATAGGTCACCCAGTGCCAGTTGGCCCAGACTGCACCTGTGCTCACCAACCGGCTTTTTTGACGCGTCAGATGAAGCAGGACCGCGGGATGCAAGGTTTGTAGGATGTCTCCCGCCGGTTCCTCGAGGCAAAGGCACGACGGAGAAAGGCGGGAGCAGATCATTGGCTGGACCACAGTCCAATCGTCGCCTGCCAACGAGCGAGACCAAGCTTCCGGTGAGACAAGGGCGGTGCATCCCATTGGAGGTGTGAAGAAGACCGAGGTGGGCAAACGTAACGCGGTTGTTCAGGCGTTAGTAGGCGGACACGCGAGTGCCAGTATAGCGCCAAAACAGGCTGCGCACGCACGTCTGATCACGAGTGTTATACGAGTGCACACGTGACAGGGGTGTGACAGACGTGTGAGTTTTGAGCCCACAGGCAGGTACGCCGATAGCCAGTCATCCGTGCGTCAAGTGTTCCACAGATGGTGGCCTATGAGCATAAATCACGCCAGGCTTGGCTGATAACGGGCCATTGGGACGGCGGAACGATAGTGAGCTTCGGTGGGTGGTCGGTCGTTCCCGTCTCGGTCCAGGCGTGGAGGTGAGATCAAAGAGCAGGAGAAGCTCGGCCTCGGGCGCCGTGATATGGAGGTAGGTAGGTCGTCCGAAGGAGCTTGGGAAATGGAGAGCAGGTTGGCAAAGGGCGAGAGGGATGATAGATAGAGCAAAAGGGCTGAGGAGGAAAGATAAACGAGAGAAGAGAAATGAAAAACCTACGATTCATGCAAAGATGATTGAGGTAGCGCAGCAAATACTCTTCGATGACGGGTTTGATTGTCGGACTCAGCTCCTTCATCGCAAGTGGAGAGTTGTTGGGCAGGTTCGAGTTGACACTGAGAGAGACGCCAGCTGTAGATGATGGCAACGATCCTGCAGAGGAAAGGTTGGACAGAGACGCTGAGGACAGGCTTGACTGGAGCGGCATCGTAGACATGGGTGACAACGCATGCAACTGGGCACCAAGAGGGTGAGATACGTTGTACGATTGTTGTGGATGTCCATAAGGTAGACTGGAGTTCGCAGTGAGTTGAGAAGGCGATTGCTGCATGGACGAGAGTGTCGGTTGCAAGAGGGATGCGCTCGCGATGCCCAAGGCACTTGCCGAGGAGGCACCTCCAAGCTGGATGGCACCACCATTGGCGAGTGTACCACTGCGGCTTCTGGACGCACCAGCGGCCGCGTTTGGACCAGCCGTAAACGTTGTGGAGCGCCGCTTTCTGTCAGTACGGGTGACACCCCCCATAGGACTATTGCCTGTACTGTTTATAGAGGCGAAGCCAGGTCCAGTTGAAGCCGTGGGAGTCATTGAGAGCCCGCTGGAGGAGATATGGCGAGGGCTGACATTGCCATTCGAGGTCGTATGAGTAGGCGTCATGACACCCAGCATCATCATCCTCGCCGTAGCCTCGTCCGTATTCTCGTCGGTACAACCGTAATCCATTTGCGGAGCGCGCTGAAGAGCTTGTTGCTGAAGCGAATGCGCTTGGCCATCCATGGTCTATAAAAATTGTGAGAGACTTCCAAGCGAGCAAAGAGAAAAACCTACAGTATCTTCTTCCGCGATTATACCTGACGCGAGTCCACCAGCAAGACGAGAGTAATAATCGAGCGTTTCGTCCCCGTCCATCATGCCTAAACCAGAGTTCATCGCCATTCCCATCGGAGGTCCCGTGATAGGCGTAATAGGAACACTACCGCCATTCGACGTGGTCCCGCCACGCATTGAAATCATCGAGGACATGACACCACCAGTAGAACCACCGTGGTTTCCAGCAACCGTTGGTGTAATCGCGACGGGCGACACACCACCGTGACCTCCGGCCATGAGTGCGTTAGAAGTGTACGCATAATCTTGGTCTGGGAAGTAGGGATTTGGCTGCAACGACGTGGCGGAAGCGGGCGCGACCGAGTTCGTCTCTGGAGAGAACGTTGGTTCAGACGGAATGGTCAATGGGGGACCAGCGAGACGGCTAGAACTTCTCGGGGCGTTTGGCGCTGGATTCGTCGTGTAAGACGCCGGGGGCGATGGTGACCCAAGCGAGCCAGACGAAGAAGAAGTCGAGCCATAGGGTCCGGACATGGGAGAAAAAGGCGTCACCGTCGAGTTGAACAACGGGTGACCTCCATTGGCCTGACGGTGAAGAGCATGATGACCGTTGTGTGGAGAATAGATCGAAGCTGTGCTTCCGTGGATGCTACCGGTACTCATACTTCTGGGGAGCGTTGAGACTCCCCCAGTCGCGATGGAGGAAGCCAGAGGTGGAAGTGGCGGGGGAAGCGCACTCTCGCGCTCGCGCTGCTGGGCTACGTACGCGTCGCCCCCAGCCTGGGACCCATAATGCTCTTGTTGGCGATAATTCTGAGCTGACTGGGCGAACTGGGAGTTGCCCAAAGTCTTGTTGACCGCGGACATTGGGATCGACAAGCGCAGCAGGCTGGGGACCTTGCTGGAGCCTGAAATAGACAGAGGCATAGGGGAAGGTGTCCCAGAGATTGGTAGATCAGCGTTGTAGTACCCAACGGCGTCGGAGCTCAGCGGAGACGAACGAGCCTTTGCACCTGCGTCCGCGACGGCATCTGGCTCAGGATAGTTGCTCGTCTGGGTTGAAGTGCTCGACGAGAACTCCATACCTGGGGGCGAGAGTGTTATAGGTTGCTGAGCCAGGGGATGTGGTGTGTACGTCGCCGCGCCGGGAACGGGAGGGCTCGACGTAGAGTAGTTAGTAAAGCCAAAGTGGGAAAAGGCGTACGGCCCAGAGTACGACATGGAGCGTGTGCGGGTGCTCGATGAAGTCGTCAACGGTGTCGGGACCGCTGCCGACGCAGCGGAGCCGCCATGCATCTGGGTTGGGTAGAAATGCTCCGTCTGGGGAATCGAGCTCGAGGGTTGCATTGGTGGTGTCGAGGTCGAGGCCGGGGCTGTCTCCATGGTTGAGCTTGAAATTTCCAGGGTGCTGGTGGAGTGCTGTCCAGGCGGCTGCTTATGTACGGGCGACGCGTGCACGATCGAAGGTGGACGTGAGATTGTGGCGTTGGTTAAAACGTTTTGGTTGGTCGTCGAGAGGGTATCCGCGTTACCGCTAGCGGTTGAGGATAGGGCGGTCATGAGGGCTGGGGTATTCATGGAAGTCCGCACCACTCCTTGAGACATCATCATTGCTGACGAGAGTAGCATTGGAGCGAAGATAGGTGTCGAAGAGTTGCGTGGTTGGTGCTGAAAAGGGTTGGTCGATGTCATTGGATGCGGCGGCGACATTGTGGCCCCCACGGTGTGAGATCTGGAAATGAAAATAATAATAATAATCAATATTGGCTGAAACAAATAAAGGGGCGGAGAACTCGAATAAATAAGTTCTCGGGTACGCCACGCGATTCTCCTGATGGAGATTGGGCCAAAAAGCGAAGAAGCCATAACTAGGAGCGAAAATAATAGCACAAGGGCGATCATTTTCAGAATACAGCGAAGTCGACTTTGAGTTTGCCTTTGGCATTCGCACCCGCATTCGCACCACTGACAGCAGCAAGACGATGGTTGATGCACGAAAGGAAAAAAAAAAATGGGTAGGAGCCATGGAAACAATAGAGAGACGTCAAGGGGACTAAAGGGGGAGAGGCAGGACGTACTCTTGCGAAGGTTGAGTGTGGGCCTCATTTACCACAGATAGCGAAGATGAAAAAGACTGTCCATAGGCGTTTGGAGATTGCACAGACGTTGCAGGAGACGAGGTGGACGGAACCTGCGATGCGCTGTGCCACTGGGCATACGCACGCAACTGTGGGCTAGAAAGTTCAAGCTTTGGATAGGTAGTGGGCGCGATGGGTGTTGAACTTGAAGCGCTTTGCTCGATATCGTTCATGACCGTTGTTTGAGACAGAGGTAAAGTGCGGAAGCGTATAGTGGCCGATGATTTGCGAGTTGTGTGAATGTCCAAAGGTCCTAGAACGTATCTGAGCCAGTTTGAAGACAAATAATTAGCACAGTCTGGAGCACGGCGCGGGACTTACTCGCCACAACTAGGACACGCGGTGGGCCAGTGGACGGCAAAAGACTGGAAGCAAAATATAGTCAGAATACTTTAAACAGTCCAGACAAGCTTTGACGCTCGAAGTCGACCTTGATCGCGATGACCGTTGACGAGCAAACGAAAGCCGCACCAATACCGCACCACGTTCTGCTCGGTTTTGCGTGCCTTGAGCACGCTGGACACAGTGAAACGAGTATATGCTTGGATAGAAGATGCGATAAGCACTGTTCGCCGGCACAAACGTCGACGGCCCACGCCCGAAGCGACTCACCAAGCGCTGGTGGCAGAGGAGCTTGATGGCGAGTGTACCCAGATGCGCAGAACACGGTACAGATCGTTTATAGAAATGTAAAGAAGAAAGGGAAACGAGATGAGCGAGAAGAAAGTTGTAGGTGGTAGTGGTAGTCGGAGGCTAAGAGGCGACGATGAACAGACGGGAGCGGACTTTGACAGAATACAAGAAAAGACAAGATATAATTCAGTTGTCAGATGCATGTTCAAAATAGCGGACATTGCCAGTGGAAACCTAGGCTCTGGGCCATGATCATCGTCTCAGACTTCATCCCAAACTTCGCCATATTTTTCCATAAACCTGTTCGGATTTGCCCAGCCGGGTTGCCCTTCAGGTTCGCCACTCGTTCCCACATCACGCCCTGGCGGTCATCTATCTACGCCGGCGAAGACATCTTGTCCTTTTTTTTCTCTCTGGATAATCACTACGATGATATCAGGAACGCTGAAGCAGCGCACAGGATTACGGCTCACCCGTAATTGGCCAATAGTTGCCGTTTTTCAGTTCTGGTACAACGCACCCGAAATGAGGTTCGCATCGATCGCGTCTTTTACATCTCATTGCTCAAACCAGTCTCATGACGAGCACGTCCGTTTTCGTCATTGGGTCCGACTTTTCCTTTTCCTCATCCGCCTGATCGTCTGTTGCTGTTTCACGCATGTCCGCGGCTCCTTACTCTCGTCGGCGAATAATTATCCGTGACCGATCGAGACTTCAGCTGCCATCCGGTTTCATTACGTGAATACTACTTTGCAAACTTTGTGCTAAACGACCTCCTGGTACGCTGATGTCACAAGAGACTTTTGACAACGGACGGACCTGACGCGACGGCACCGCGGTCAGTGTCGTCTTCCAGACTCGCCGTGTGTAGCGGCGGCGAAAGGAGTCCACGAAGCTGATGGTACCTATGTGGAACGCCATTTGGCAAGCCGCGACGGCGATGTCCGTGCGCCACTGCTGGTTTCGAGACGACATGCGAGTATCTGCTGTGATGGTGGAGGAGAGCTTGTTCAGCTTCTTTGGTTGCTAACTTTCAGCCCGCTATCTTTATCCCGGGCTGGAAACTCGTGGTGCTTCGAGCAGGGCTCGTACATGGCTCTTGTTGTTTCACACCTGAGACATCTCTTGAACAAACAGTTTCCACGTCGTCTACTGCAAAGTGCCGCCTGTGGTTCGGAAGGCCCAGTGATTCTTGCCAAATTACTATTTGACCTCTGAGACAAGTTTCAACTATTATTCTATTCCCATTTTACCTAATATATGTGTATATATTCGAGGTCCCGTGAGTGTGCGACGCGACTGTCAAAAGCCAAACATTTACGCCATCGATGACGCGGGCGAGGTCGACGCAACGACACCGTAATCCGTTGAATAAAGAAACGCACCTGGATAAAAAAACTGTATTCTAACATACCCTCTATTTATCGAAGGCCCGCCATGGCAGGCTCTCCAACGCTGCTTTCTTCAAGTGGAATTGTAGCTCACAGTTTCCGTCTAATAATCCCAATCCACGGAAAGGATATGAATCGTGGACTCGGTGGATAGAACTAGACCGAGGTCGACTTACTCACGTCCGCCGGGACCTCTACATAATTCGCAGAGACTTGTCTATGATATTGGGAAGTGCTGCCCTTATGCTGTCTGTAGTAATGAGAATGATATTCTAGATACCGAATCTCAAATCCTCTTTCTAATTGCCAAATGAGGACGGTGGTGATACTTGTATCAGCTACAAACGATAGGACTTCAAAGATCTCTCGATTTTGTTCCTTATTTTCGTTACCTCAATCTCAGGCCTCGATTCCCATCCAAAGGAGACATTACTAAAGAAGATATTCTCCCGACTCGAGGTGTGCCATATCATAAAATGATCCTGTGACGGAAAAGCTTGAGAACCCATACTGCTGGGTCTACCATGCAATAATAGCCTTACCCAACCGAATGTCTGTATCCTAACCTTCCATAAAATTGTGGCGTTTCTCCTCACCGATGACATTACCCAAACACCTTATGACCTAAAAACAACTCTGATCATCTACCGGCCGCGGTACAACCTTTGCGTATCGACACCAGACAAAGTAGTATAGTATTGGAGCGATACAGAATGCTAATAATATTCCTTCAATCTCAGGATATATTTGCTAGGTGATCAATAATTTGACTGTTCCTTTCACGGGAAAGAAGACAGCTCACCATCTAATGAGCAATATTGTGAACAGCAAATAGCTCTAACCTCAATGTAGTCGTCCGTACTTATTGACTTAACAGGGAGGAAAGGGGACGCTCTGAGAGACCTTCTTCCTTCTTGCCTTTCTTCAGCACCGAAGAGCGATACCTCCGCTGACATTCGAAATAATTTCTTTGAATTCCATGGGGAAAGGAATCTTCCTGACCTGGCCCTCCTTTCTTTTCTTTACAATTAGGTTGGATCCCAGTCATCGGTTCGTTCTTGATTATTTTACTCGAAGTGTATGCCGGCGGAGCACTGAGAGTCGGCATACACCATGTTCTTTGTCCATATAGATTGTTTATAGGTCGATAATAGGATCCATGCACACCCTCGTGGGCCATCAGGCATTAGTGAGATAACCTCCATGGCATGTGAACTTCACAGATATGAGCAGTGCTATAATGCTCAACTTTGACCGCTACTATCAAATGGCCAACCGCCATTCCCGATCTCACAAGAGACTATTGTACCACATGTATCGAAACCTCTTGCTAAATATCTGGAAGCGGCAGTCGGGCGTCCTTCGGCTTTCAACAACAAGGGCCGCCCCCTTCGTTCGAATTGGCCAAACCTGCTTCGGTGGACCAGCGATCGAAGGAAGGCAATAATGAATTCACCACACTGGATCTAGCCCGGTCTGGAGGTCCATCGAGCAGCTCTTGTCTATAAACGATCCTCACCTATCCAAGCATACCCTCTAGTACTACCACCTAGACGTTACACACTTCTTGCTACTACGTGAAGGAGAACCATTTGAGTAAGAGAAACCAAGGCATAGAGCATGTTCTAGCTTATTTGAATATTTCCACTAGTTTTCAGATACGTTACCTGACAATGCCAGTCAGAAATTCTCGATTCAAAAACCACAAAGAGTATGGATATCGCCAACTTGGTTCCCGTTCTCGCCATGGCAGGCAATCTCCGTTCTAACGGCTCGTTTATCAATTTGAAATAAACATCTTGAGCGACATGGGATAAGTGTCGAGAATAATGAATTTGAGAGATTCAACTCTGTAGAATATTGAGGCTATGGTGGGGCTCCTATAGAATAGTATGGTAGCGCTGGCACGATGGCTCCCTGCTTCGCCTAACATGAGCGAGACTAAGGATCTCGTTGCGCAACTAGTATCGTAGCAGGTTCACGTGACTTTCCTTGATAATTCCATCTCCATCATGTACCGGGTCCCAAGTTCCGACGGCCACCCGTGGCGCGACGGATCAAGCAAACAAATGCTCAATACTCGCAGTGCCCCAGTAAACTGTGCCTACCGCTTGGTGCAATACGATCACCGATGGAATGTGCGCATCGGCAGGATCATCAATCCACTTAAGCAGCGTTATTGATGTAGAATATCCGTGAACTTAGCTAGGTTTACACACTCAGTATGAGATAAATGTCGTGTTGTAGTATGAACTGCCAAGTTGAGGATGTTAGGCACGGGTCGACATATATATAGCATGCATCCTAGAGGCCTAATGTTCCCGAGCATAGTTCCACTTCAAACAAACCGAGGAAGCGCTCCGCTGCCCATTTGGTTCGCCTTGGTCAAACCTTGCCGACCCAAATGGATTTCCCGGGTCACGGAAATAAACAGGGCGCGCAGTCCGTTGGAGGGAAAAGGAGCACTGTGGACGAGTATATGATGCGGGGATCACGGCCATGGTCATGGTCAAGTCGGCACTCGGAGTGATGCAGAGTAAGAGTAGCT